TTAGTTTGTTCTTTTTCTATTTTCTTAAGTTTAGTTTGTTCTTTTTCTATTTTCTATTGATTTTAGGTCTTTTTTTTCTTATTAAATATAAGATTTTACAACTATAAATTTCCCTCTAAGCACTGCTTTGGTTGCATCTCATAAGTTTTGGTATGTTGTGTTTTTGTTTTCATATATCTTAAAGAAGCTTCTAATTTCCCATGTGATTTCTTCTACGGCCCATTAGTTATTTAAGAGTGTGTTGATTTCCACATATTTGTGAATTTCCCAAATTTCCTTCTGTTATTGCTAATTTCATTGCATTGGGGTCTGAGAACATACTCTGTATGATTTCAACCCTTTTAAGTTTACTGAGACTTGTTTTATGGTTTAACATATGGTCTATTCTGGAGAATGTTCCATGTATACTTGAGAAGAATATGCATTCTGCTATTGTTGGGTGGAGTGTTCTTCTTCCTTTTTTTTTTTAAAGATTTTATTTATTTATTTGACAGAGAGAGACGCAGCAAGAGAGGGAACACAAGCAGGGGGAGTGGGAGAGGGAGAAGCAGGCTTCCCACTGGGCAGGGAGCCCGATATGGGGCTCAATCCCAGGACCCTGGGATCATGACCTGAGCCGAAGGCAGACGCTTAACGACTGAGCCACCCAGGCGCCCCATGGGTGGAGTGTTCTTCTATAGATGTCTGTCAGGACTTGGGCTGGAGTTGTGCAGCTGTGACTTTTCTTTTAAAGGAGACTACCTTGACGGGCGCCTGGGTGGCTCAGTCAGTTAAGCGTACAACTCTAGATCTCAGCTCAGGTCTGGATCTCAGGGTCATGAGTTCAAGCCCTACGTTGGGTTCCATGCTGGGCATGGAGTCTACTTAAAAAAAAAAAAAAAGAGGGCGCCTGGCTGGCTCAGTTGGTTAAGCGGCTGCCTTTGGCTCAGGTCATGATCCTGGAGTCCCGGGATCGAGTCCCGCATCGGGCTCCCTGCTCAGCGAAGAGTCTGCTTCTCCCTCTGACCCTCTTCCCTCTTGTGCTCTCTATCTCTCATTCTCTCTCTCTCAAATAAATAAATAAATAAAAATTAAAAAAAAAAGAAGCACAATAAAGGAGTCTACCTTGGTAGAGGCTATTTCTATCTCACTGTGATAATGACATCTTGTTTTTGCCTGGTTTTAATGTAAGGGCTAGGAGCGTTTTCTGACAGTGGAGCTGATCACAAGAAGTTAACTAGATCTCTTTGTGTCACCTTCAGCAGCGTCGTAAACCCAAACTAAGACAATAAGAACCCTAAGAGTTATCGATGACTCATCGTGGTTTTCTATGGGAGTTGGTCTGTCTCAAGAGAGTCTCCCTGAGTGGGATAAAGCTCCCTTATAGCAGCCAGGACTCACTGGAAGGAAAACAAAAAAACAAAACCGAGACCTTTTACTGTCACCCTGGAGGGGGTATAAGATTGGCGTGACAGACGGTAGGAAGGACTGAGCTGTAAGATGGCTCAGCTGTTGTTATTCTCCCTTAACAAGCAGCACATGTCTTTCCCCTCACCTCCCAAGTGAGCCAGCAAAATTCTAATGATTCATCTGGTTTTCGTCCGTAGTGGTAGTAAATCTCCCTCCATTCAGGTTTAGCGTGTGTGTGTGTGTGTGTGTGTGTGTGCGCGCGCGCGTGTGTGTGCTGTCTGAAAGGGGATAGAAACTTCCGTATGCCCCAGATGAGTCTTAGTACTGATTGTTACAATGGGGCAGACCTGAAGCTGACCCTTCCACTCCCCTGTCCCAACCTGGCCGACGTTTGGCAGCTGACTTTGAATCTACGTCCAGGTTCTCCACCGGCAACTACCTCCCCAATTTGTTCTCACGAACAGGAAATAAATTTGAAGCCCATTTATTGCTTGGTTGATTATATAATCTGGTCCACGTGTGTACTGCTGATTCCCTTGGCCTTCCCTCCAAACTCGTTAGTAAACGCATGAGGTCCTCATACTTCCTCATACCAAAAACCGTGTTTCTGTCAGTATCTCATCCTCAGTGCCCAAACAATCAAGAACTGTGAAAGAGTTTCGCCCTGTTTTCAAATAAACACCCTATTTCAAATCACTCATTTCACCCTATTTTCAAATAAACAAGCTATGGTGACACAATTTCATGGATACTGGCAGAAGACGTGAGACTTCTGAGGCAGAGATTAAGGACGTTATTATTCACAGCACCCAAGTGGTTTGTTTTTTTTTTAAAGATTTTATTTATTTATTTGAGAGAGAGAGAATGGAAGAGAGAGAGCACGAGAGGGGGGAGGGTCAGCGGGAGAAGCAGACTCCCTGCTGAGCAGGAAGCCTGATGCGGGACTCGATCCTGGCACTCCAGGATCATGACCTGAGCCGAAGGCAGTCGCTTAAGCAACTGAGCCACCCAGGCGCCCTCACAGCACCCAAGTGTTATGAACATGAGCATATTTGTCACTTCCCCTTACCCTCAAGTCTCGCCAAACAAGGCAGGTGGACTCATATGGATGCCTACACACAGGCTGAGTTGTGTCATAGTAGAGGAACTCTGACCTTGGGGCATCCAGGTATTTTATAATGGGCAGTAAGTATGCCTGCCCTTTGCTCTAGAGGGAGCCAGTTATCTCTACTGTCCAAGGCTGTTCACTATATAAACATCCTGGAAAAAGACAATCCAGAACCAAGGTAGTGTCTCTGCTTGCTGCAACTGCATTCATGTGAGAGACTAGGAGTCAATGGCCTCCTACCACCTCTTTCCTCACATCTCACTAAATCCTCACAGCAACCGCGCCAAGTAGGTATAACTGACCTGGTTTCACAGATGAGGAATTGAAGTCCAGAGAAGTGAAGTGAATTACTCCTGGTGACATAGCCAGTAAGCAGCGGATCCGGGATCAAACCCAGGCCAACCTGATTCCAGGCCTGTGCCTTGTCCAAGGGAGGGGCTTGGAGGGGAGAAAGGTGATGGGAATTCTGTTGAGTAGTGGGAGGGGATTGTAGGGAGGGTGGGAAGGGTTGAGGGGGGCCAGGAGCCAGATTTGTAGGACCTTGGAGACCATAGTAAGGACTTTGGATTTTTGGCTAAGTGGGATGGGGAGATCCCAGAGACTTTTGAGCAAAAGAGTGATATGACCTGATTTATGTTTTAAGGATTTATTTATTATTTATTTGAGAGAGAGAGAGAGAGAGAGCACAGCAGGGAGGGGCAGAGGGAGAGGGAGCTGAGCGCAGAGTCCCATGCGAGGCTCAATCCCACCACTCCAAGATCACGACCTGAGCCAAAACCAAGAGTCCGATGCTCAACCAACTGCGCCACCCAGGCACCCTCTGATTGACTGATTGATTTAAAAAAGATTTTATTTATTTTGTCAGAGAGAGAGAGCACAAGCAGGGGGAGCGGCAGGCAGAGGGAGAACCAGGCTCCCCACCAAGCAAGGAGCCTGATGTGGGACTCGATCCCAGGACCCTGGGATCATGACATGAGCCGAAGGCAGACACTTAACCAACAGCTACCTAGGTGTCTCCTGATTTATGTTTTAAAAGAATTATTGTTTCCTATTCTGTAAAATGGGGATAACAGTAGTACCTTCCCGATAAGACTGTCATGAGGAGTAAATGACAGGGATTAAACAGGAGGATGAGTGCCAGGGTCTTAGTTGGTGCCAGGAAGAAGAAGCTGTTGGCCGAGTGGATACTGGCCATGATGATGACACAGAAGGGTGCACTGAGGAATTTAGGATGGGGCTGGGAGCTGAAGACAGTATGGACCTGGAGGGTCTGTACAAGCTGGCTAGAGTCCAGGAGTTCCTCTAGTCAGCTTGGTGGAACTGACCTGGGGTCAGACCTTGAGTCAGGAACACTGCTGCCCAAGAGCCTGCCGGTAGATGGAGAGAGTGAAGTGGGGCACAGGACTCTCCAAGTAAGCAGGCGGCAGTAAGGGTCAGAAAACGGCTGCTCCAGGGAGTCTATGTAGAAGGAAGATGGGGCCAGGAGGAGGGCATTCAATCTTCAGGTAAGAATGCAGAAGCACGTGCTGTCTAGTTAAAGGAGGTTGCCAATGAGATTACGAGGGTCTAAATCCTAGCTCCTTCTCCCCTGCCCTGGTGTACCGCCTTAAGGCACTTCAGGCTGCATATCTGGGCACCACTGTCTGCCCCATCTGGCTTCTCCAAATCTAATAAGGGAAAGAAAAGGAACACGGAAGAGGGGGATAAATCAAGGCCAGTGTTTAGGGAGCACTAGTAATTTTAACAGAGACCCACCTAAAAAAAGCATAACGGTCATAAGCATCACTATAGGTCCTTCAATCCAGCGGGAATCCCTCCGCAACTGCTGGACCCGGACCTGCGCATGCCCAGTACAGCGTTTTCGGGGCTTAAACTTCAAAAAAAAAAAAAAAAGTGAGGGGCGCACTTCGCATCAGTCCCAGGCCCTGGGGTTAAGGGGATCGGCAGACTGGGCCTCCAAACATGCAGAAGGGGGTGAGGGTGTCTTGAAATAGGCTGAAAAGTATAGAAAGGGAGAACGACCCCCGCCTGGCCTGCCTTGCCGGTGGAAGTGAGAAGCACTGAGGACTGAATAGGCTGTACGAGCGCTCAAGGGACCACTTGTTATCATCAAGGGTGTTGTTGATTACGCCACTGCCCCGCCTGCCCCGGGTCTGACCTGTGCGGAAAGGAAAATCCAAGGGGAGATGGAGGCCAGCGGGGATTTCTCACGCCAAGTGGTCTTCTCCATCTGCGGCGGGCGAGAAGGGCGGCCCCGCGTAGCCACTTTCAGGTCCTGCGACCCGTGCGGCGTTACCCCGGAGACTCCCCTCCTGAGGCCCGCCAGCCCAAAGATCGTCCACCGGGTTCGGGCTGAGGGGCTCGCCCACAGGCCAGGGTCTCCTGCAGCAGACACGCCCCACTACGGGCAACTTGACGTCTGAGAGGCGCCATTTCCGCCCTCATCCTAGGCCTAAATGGAGGGGGCGGAGCCGAGCGGAAAGCGCTCCGCTTGTACGTCACGTCCGGTGAGCCCACTGGCGACAACGGCAACATGGCTCTGAACGGTGCTGGTGAGGCTTTGGGCTGTTGGGGGCCTGTGGTTGCGGGGTGCAGGAGGTATCCCACTCGGGCAAGACCCCTCTGTCTCTTGTGCCTCTCTTCCCCCAGAAGCCGACGATTTCTCCTGGGAGCCCCCAACCGAAGCGGAAACGAAGGTTCTGCAAGCGCGAAGGGAGAGACAGGATCGCATCTCCCGGCTCATGGGCGACTACCTGCTGCGTGGTTACCGCATGCTGGGCGAGACGTGCGCGGACTGCGGGGTGAGGAGAGGCTCGGGACGTGGGATCCGGAATGGGGCCGCGGACCAGGCCGCACGGCCCTTTCCCAACTCTCCCCTCTGGACCCCATCGCCCTGCGTCTCATCCGTGCCCCCGTGCACTCTGCTTCTAGACGATCCTCCTCCAAGACAAACAGCGGAAAATCTACTGCGTGGCTTGTCAGGAGCTCGACTCAGACGTGGATAAAGATAATCCGGGTGAGAGGCCGAGTATGCTTGGTGGAGAAGCTGCGTGGTGAGAGAGGCCCGGGAACAGTAGGTTTGGGAGGTGACAGTGGAGTGTCTGGGTGAGGCGGAGGTAAGATACTTTCCCTTTACGGCTCTAGAGAGGACCATTCACTCAGTAGGAGCACTAAATACCCGTGTGCCAGACACTATAAAGAGTCTGAGCTCTATCGGGCATAGTCCTGATGGGAGAGATGAAGCAAGGGCATAAATAACTCTGGCACAAAGAAGAAAATGGATGAGTTACTTTATAGAGGGGCAGGAAAAACATCTCAAGCATAGAAAGAGCAGAGCAGTAAAGAGTAAGGAGGTGGCCCAGGGCTGATGGGGGACAGGCTTCCTGACCATTCCACCCACTTTCTCCTCTTTTAGCTCTGAATGCCCAGGCTGCCCTCTCCCAAGCTCGGGAACACCAGCTTGCCTCTGCCTCGGAGCTCCCCTTGGGCTCTCGGCCAGCCCCTCAGCCCCCAGTACCCCGTCCAGAGCACTGTGAGGGAGCTGCAGCAGGGCTCAAGGCAGCCCAGGGGCCACCCCCTCCTGCTGTGCCTCCAAATGCAAATGTCCTGGCCTGCACACAGGAGGCCCTCCTGCAGAAGCTGACCTGGGCCTCAGCTGAGCTGGGCTCTAGCGCTTCCTTGGAGACTAGCATCCAGCTGTGTAGCCTAATCCGGGCTTGTGCTGAGGCTCTGCGCAGCCTTCGGCAGCTGCAACACTAAGAGGCCCCTCCTGAGAAAAACCCTGTCCAGAAAAACAGCTGTCCTCTTGTGTGGTTTGTTCTTTTCTTGGTTCTGAGTGTGCATGCCAGCTCCTGCTCCACTCGCCTTTTTCCTACCTTTGCCTCTTACCCTACCAGTCAGCTCTCCTTGATGCCCTGAGAGATTAGTTGGGCTTGTTTGTGCTTGGTTTCCCCCACTCCGAATGAGGGAGGCGGGAGAGGACTATGTGACACTTTTTTCTGAGGTGGAGGTCATAGCCTCCCTCAAAAGCAGGAACAAGAGGGGTGGACCTCTGCGGCATCCCTGCAGCCTCCTCGGCCATCCAGTGCTCAGTTCCCACCCTTGAGTGTGATTTTGGGTTCCAGTCCCCCTTGGTTACCTTCTCCTTCCCCTGAGCATTCTGATACCATCATCCTGACCCACCTCATGCCCAGCCCAGGTACTCAGACACTGAGACACTGACAGGGCGTCAGGTTGACCGTTAGGGACCAAGTATGGACTTACCCAAGTCTCCTGATCCTCCACCCCCAGGGTTAGATCCTTTCTCTTGGGAGTTAAAATTGAGCAGATTAATTAAACACATTGTTGCGGGGGGGAGCAAAAAAGAACCTTAAAGGAACCGCGTTCGCCGCTTTTGGTCTTTTCGCCCGCCCCTTTTCCTGGCTCCCTTCCTGTGGTTGCCCCATTCCTTTTCTCTGCTTTTCACGGTGTGGCCCCACCACCGTAGCCCTTTTAAGAGAGGCCCCGCCCATGCAAAGGGGGTGGGGCAGGGGCGGAGTCGGAGGAGTCGGGGAAGGAACAAAGCGCGGCCTGCGGGCGGCGGCTTGGCTCAGCCGGCGGGGCCGCGCGGTGCGGGGCCTGCGGGCTGCGGCCCGGGCGGAGCGTTGAAGGGAAGGAGGCAGCATCGCCGTCCGCGCCGGCTGGGCCATGAATGGGCTGCCCTCGGCCGAGGCGCCGGGCGGCGCTGGCTGCGCCCTAGCCGGGCTCCCTCCGTTACCGCGCGGCCTCAGCGGTCTCCTCAACGCAAGCGGGGGTTCGTGGCGGGAGCTGGAGCGCGTTTACAGCCAGCGCAGCCGCATCCACGACGAGCTGAGCCGCGCGGCCCGCATCCCAGATGGGCCCCGCTACGCTGCGGGCGCTACCAACGCGGGACCCGCCGCTGGTCCCCTCGGCCCGCGTCGCCCTGTCAATCTCGACTCAGCACTAGCAGCCCTGCGCAAGGAGATGGTGAGTGGCTGGGCCCCGGGCCAGCGGGGCGGAGGGCTGCCGCTGAGCGTGAGGGTCCCGGGGCGGAGCTCAGCCAGAGGCACAGAACCGGGAACTCATGGCTTGAGTCTCAGAAGAACTGCAGAAGCCGGTTGGGTCAGAGGGGATATAGTAACAGTGATTATAATTACCGTTTATGGCAATAGTTACCATGTATTTTCAATGCTCTTTTCGTGTTATTTCATTCCATCCTCCTAGGTAAATGTTATCCCCATTTTACAGGTGAGGGTCAGTGATTTGCCTAGAGTCACAGCTTGCAGGTGGCGTCTGCTGTCCACAAAACTTTGTGCTTAGAAAGGTGCAGGAAGATTGGCTAGGGCTGAGGGTGGCCTGGACCCCAACCCCAGCCCACCCTCAGTCTTTTGCAGGTGGGGCTGCGGCAGCTGGACATGTCCCTGCTGTGCCAGCTGTGGGGCCTGTACGAGTCAATCCAAGACTATAAGCACCTGTGCCAAGACTTGAGCCTGTGCCAGGACCTGTCATCCTCCCTGCACTCAGACAGCTCTTATCCACCTGATGCTGGCCTGTCTGATGACGATGAGCCTCCTGATGCCAGCCTGCCCCCGGACCCGCCACCCCTCACTGTGCCCCAGACACACAATGCCCGGGACCAGTGGCTGCAGGACGCCTTTCACATCAGCCTCTGAAGAGCTGGGGGTGGGGGGAACGTGCACCCCTGCAAAAGGCTCAGAAACTCACCCCTTACTAGGTACTCAGACTTACAGTGCCTCCTTCCCCCTGTACCACCTCACTTCACAAGAAGGCAAGCCTTGGGCCCCTCAGAGGCAAAGTTGCCAACCCCCTCTCTCCTGACTCTGGTTAGCTAGTACTGGGGCAGGTAGCTGGGGTACAGCCTTTGCCCCTGGCACTGGACCTCCTCTACTCCCACGTGTGCACCCCAGCTTGGCCAACCTTCAGTCTGGTGGTGGGGCCCAAAGCATCTGGCACTCCCCTCGACGTCTCTGGGATTGGGATGAGTGCCTGGTTCCCATCTCCTTTTCACCTTTTGCTGCTATTGGCAGCTGCTGGCTCAGGGGCATCCCACCTCTGCTCTCTGGGTTCCACTGCTCTAGACCAGGGCATCCCCATTCTTGCACCCACCCACGGCCGGGAGGGCCAAGGTTCCGTGCTGGATATTTAAGTTTAGGCGCCAGACTCTTGGGCACATAGGTAAATAAATACTCTCTCTGCTTTCTTGTGTTTTGAATGCCTGGCTCTGGGGCGGGGAAATAGTTTCTGGAAAGTGCGGTCCCGCACTCCGCCGGCAGGTGGCGCCCAAGACCCCGGACTGGAAGAAAGGCTTGCCGGCGACGGAGTGCGAATCCTCCTTCCACCGACCGGGCTGGGGAACAAGCGGAGCTGGCCGAGCTAGTCCCGCGGTCTGCGACGGCGGGCGAGTAACTTCCCCTCTGTCCGGAGATCTGGGAGCCCAACCCTACCCCCGCCCATCCCCAACTCGCTTTGGTCCTCCGGGAAGGAAGGAGAAGGAGCCGCCTATCTTGAGAAAAACTTTCCACCCCAAGTGGGGGCGGAGTTGGGACGGCACAGGAAATGGGTGGGCCTGAGCCAGCGGGCCTAGGGGCCCCTCGGCGGGAGAGGGGAAGGCGCCTCCAGGAAGGGCCCGGGAGCTAGTGAGCGCCCTTTGGGTGGGAGGAAACAGCTGCAGAGGCAGAAGGGGGTGAAGTTGCGTTGGCCCACACCTCCCCAGAGGCCACATACGCCTTGGGCGAGGGCGCGGGGGGCGGGGGGGGGAAAGGGGGCAGGGCTCTGCGCTCCAGGGCACGAGATCCAGCTTCGGTGAGGAGTGATTGGGTGCCTGAGGCTCCCATTCTGCACTTAACTCTCATACAGGCCGCCTGGCTACCCCACAGCACCTCGAGCCTTTAGGCCTGTATGTAAGGGGCTTTCTCTTACAGAGGAAACCGAGGACCACACCGCTGGGCCTGAGAGCCAAACCCACGTGTCAGGCTCGCCGGAAGCAGCCTGCACATTTGGGGATGGTGGGTGTTCAGACCTCCAGGCACACACATAAAACCCCCACAACTCCCTGAGACGAAGAGGAGAGGACCTCGAAGTTACACACTTAGGCGTACGGGCTGCTCACCCCCACGCCCTGTGCACAGGCACTTGCCTCTGGAGACAACAGCGGGCACTCTTGGCAGATCAGATACCCTGTTCAAACCGAGAATCTATTAAGCACCAGGTTGCAGTCCATTCACAAATCTTGCTGAGTGCTGGCAGGGAGGGAAAGAAGCTGATGCGCTGCCGCAGGGTAGTTCTCTAACTCTGGGCCTGATACCTGCAGGTGCTCATTACCATGCTGGGCCCCCGGGTAGGCGATAAGGGCTCTAATCTAGGTGTGAACAAGGCGGCTAACGCCTGCGGCAGGCTTCTTAGGGGAGGGAGAGTAAACACGTGTGTGCATATGCGAGCGTGGGCACGCGCTTGCGCGCGCGCACACACATACACACTTTCCAGCCTGCGATAAGGGATTCCGTTCAATGAGACCTCAGGAAATCAGCCAGTCTCCGTACTGAATGCTTCCCAAGAATTCATACTCTTAGCGAGTGTGTAAGGGTCAGAACTATAATTATCCCTATTTAACAGAGGTTGAAACTGAGGCTCAGAGTGTTAGTACTTTGCCCAAGGTCACACACTTGGAAATCAGCTGCTTGTGGGATGTTGGGACTATCTTCCCACTTGACAGCTAAGGAGTCAGTTTCCCTGCTGCCCACAGGTAGGGCCACCCAGGTTGACCCCCGACTCTGCTCCTTCCCACTTAGGTTGAGACCTGGGTGACGACAGCAGGAGTCTGCCACCCCAGTGTTGACAGTTGGCTCTGGCCCAGATTCGCAGTGTGGCCCTGAGCAAGTCTGTTCTTTCTGGGGCTCTGTTTCCCCCATCTGTGAAATGGGGCCATCAGTACGTACTTCCCACGGCTGAGGGCAGGAAGGGTGGCGGCCCGGGCAGTGCTCGCCAGGGCCGCACCAAGTTGCTGGTAGTTCTCTCCCCTGCCCGCGCGTCCACACCGCCTCCGCGCCCTACGAGCGGGCGCTGCGGTCCAGGCGTTCCCCTTGGTACGCCCCCCCCACCCCCTTCCCCAACCGCGGTGGCGGCGCGAGGCCCCGGAAGCCGGGCCGCCCCGCCCCCCGCTCCCGCCCCGGCCCCGGCCTCCGCCCCCCGCCGGAGCCCCGCCCGCCTTCCGACGGGGGTGCGGCTCCAGGAAACGGCGCGCTCGCGGCTCAGCGCTCCCGGGACCCGACGCGCCCCGGACGACCCGGCCGACTCAGCGGGACCACCCGGCGGGCCCCAGCGCGGGCAGCGGGGTGATCGGCCCCGGGTCCGAGCCTCGGACATCTCCGACGGACGGGGCGGGCAGCGCGGAGAGCAGCCCGGGAGGCCATGGGGACCCAGGCCCGGCCAGCGGGAGCGGGCCAGCGGGAGCCCCGAGTCTGAGGAGCCGGCGGCGGGGGCGGCGGGGGCCATGACCTCGGTGTGGAAGCGCCTGCAGCGCGTGGGCAAGCGGGCCGCCAAGTTCCAGTTTGTGGCCTGTTACCACGAGCTGGTGGTGGAGTGCACCAAGAAATGGTGAGTGGCAGGGAGGCCCCGGGGCCTCCGCAGACTCGCCGGGACCCCATGAGGCCGCTGGAGCCTGAAAGAGCCCTGCCCCTAGCCTGGTGGCCCTTTGCCCCTACCCTGGGCCCTGGTGTCCCAGACACAGAGACTCAAAAATGCCTTTGCAGCTTGTGGGACCCCTGGAGTTGGGGGTGTGGGTCGCTTTTGGGGAATGGAGATCAGAACTTGCAGGCCTGAGCATCTGTCCCTGCCCACACCTTCCTCATCCAAGCTCAGCCCTGGGGGAAGGGAGGCCTCATGTTTTTGTGACCAGAGGGATGGTTCAGGGTAACATCAGAAAAGGGAGCAAATTCGGAGGTCTGCGGGTGGCCTGGTTGTGGCAGAAACCCCCATGGACTGCTCAGAACAAGGATGTTGCCTGCTCCTCCCCTGCCCACTTGTTGGGCCAGAGGAACCCACACACACACTTCAGCCACAGTGGGTGCTGGGAGGCTGGATGTCTCCACAATGTCCTTAAAAGGGGAAACTGAGCACCGGGAGGGATGAGGAGGGAGGCAGGGATTGGGCTTAAAGGGGCCTGAGGGCCTAGAAGGCTGTGAGTCTGGGAGGAGAGGGCTTGGGGAGGGCGAGGCGGCCCGGTCGGGGAAGACATGTGAGAGAGAGTGCGGGACCTGGCCCGGACTGCCTCAGGGCCCCGGGGGCATCTTGTTCACACGCTCCCACCCGCAGCTGCCCGGACCCCTGCGTCACACCCTAAATATACGTGTTCTCTGGTGTCAGCTTCCCTTGGCTGGATTAGGGCACAGCTGTGGGGGCCTCACCCGCCAGGCGGGGCTAAATTTAGGCTCCCAAGAGGAAGAGCTGCAGGGGCAGGAAGGGATCATGGGGTCCAAAGGGAGGGGAGTGAGCAGGAGGCTAGGGTCCCCTGAGCAGCCGCCATATCCCCGGTTTTGACTGCGCCAGCCAGAGGGCCGTTCACTGCATCTGGCGAGGCCCAGGGAAGACCAGGGGCTGGCTAAGGTAACACAGCACAAGGCTAGGACTTGAACTCTGGCCTCTGGCTTCTGCCTTCTGCCCCAGCATCCTGGGTGAGGCCAGGGGGACGCTGGGCATGGTCCTAGAGAGCAGGCCTGGGGTGCGGGCAGTGTCAGTGCTTCTGAGTCACAGGGGCGGGCAGGGCCTCCTGGGCTTCTTAGCAGGGAGCCCAGGCTAGGAAGCTGCCCCTACCCAGGTCTTGGCTCCCCAGGAGGGAGTGCCCAGCCTGAGTCAGGCTGCCTAGCCAGGCCCCGCCCTCTCTGGGCACCCCCTGTCTGCTTCCCCTTTCTGGGAAGGCCCCATGGCTACCCTGGCTCAGCCATCGCCGGCAGTCTGGGGTTGGGAAGGGGAGCTTGGCTGCAGGCCGGATGGCTCTGGGCTCCGCTTTGTGACCTTGCCTGGCTCCCAACCTCTCTGGGCCTCAGCATCCTCAGGGGTTGCCTGCAGAGCCATTTATCCTGGCTCAGCCTGCAGAGGGGCGGTGAGGTGGGTGGACCTAAGCGTCCTGGCATGGGGCTAGACACAGGCAAGAAAGCCTCTTGTACTGTTCTCAGCCTCATGATCCCCTCAGCCATCCCCACCCTCCTGGGCAGCAGTTGGACCCTCTAACCCGAGAGGGCCTTCTCCCTCCCAGGCCCAGCCACGTGTCAGTTCTGTGGGGCTGGGCCCTGCCCAGGCAATTCTTCGCTCTTGTGTTATCTGTCTCTTCACAACTCTGCCTCTCTTCTGAGTCCGCCCTGGCATATGCAGTTCAGCCTGCAGGTCACCCTCCGGAAGTTTTCCTTGATGCCCCTTGTGGGAGTCAGGGGCCCTGCAAAGCTAGAGTCCAGGGCTCGGGGTTTGAGAGGTGGGGAGCATGGCTGATTCTCAGGGCCCCTGGGCCCCGGGTGGGTGTCTGATGACAAGCTGACCCTCTGTCTCTGTGACCACCTGCCCCCTCCACCCCTTGCTCTGACCCCGAGCCTCCCCCCAACCTCTTTGCACTTGCCATTCCTTCTTCCTTGAGCCCTCCTTCTCCGGACCCCCGCACAGCCTCTGCTCAGACACCCCAACCTCAAGGAGACCCCAGTGGCTCTCTCCCATCTCCCTGAAGTCAGCTTGTTAATTTATTTTCCTTCTTGACTGGCACTCTTCCCCAAACTCTGTTGTCCTCAGCCCCTGAAGGGTCTCGCTTCTCCTTTGCTCTGCTCTGCCTTCTAAACTGGGCTGGGTTTACTGTACGCACTCCCCAAATATTTGTGAGTGAACGGCTTTGTTTTACTTCGAGTCTGTCTCTCTCGGTGTCTCTAAGTCTGTGTGTCTCTTGCAGGGTTCTTGCTGGGTTTATGTGTATCTTTCTGTCTCTGTGTGTGCCTGTCTCTCTGTACGCCTCTGTCTCTCTGTCTGTCTTCATAATCCCTGCCCCACATGGGGCCTTTGCCCTTCTGCCCAGGGCCCCACCCTGCCTGAGCAGCCTCACCCTGCTCCTGGTGGCTCCAGATAAGGAGCTGTCCAGGCCCTCTCCTGGGGGAGGGGGATGTGGGCAGAAGGAAGACCCTGGAGGAGATGGAGAGGCTGGGTGGGTGGGCCTGACTGAGTAGACCCCCCCTCTCCCCACCCCCAGGCAACCGGATAAGCTGGTGGTGGTGTGGACCCGGCGGAACCGACGCATCTGCTCCAAGGTTGGGGAGGTTATCAACTGGGGGGTGGTCCAGGTTGGGGGTGAGGCCAACAGAGGGTGCAGGGAAAGTGGGTGAGTGAGGACTGATGGGGGAGTGGAGTCAGGTTCAGGTTTGGATCGGAATCCATAGAAGGGAGAGAAAGATGAGGTCGAGTCTAGAGCCAAGGGCAGGGAGTGGGGGGAGACTGTGAGTCAGGGGAGGCCTCAGACCGCTCATTGCAGGCCCACAGCTGGCAGCCAGGCATCCAGAACCCATACCGGGGCACCGTGGTGTGGATGGTGCCAGAGAACGTGGACATCTCTGTGACCCTCTACAGGGTGAGTCCCTAGCCCTTCTGCATAAGTGGGAATGGCGGGGGGGGCGATGACAGCCCAGGCAGCCATGGGGGATCCCCAGTGGGTTATCCATCCAAATAGGAGAGAACAGAGGGGTGAGACCAAGAACCAAGACGAGGGTGGGGGTGGCCCAGGAGTTCTCCTTGGAGGGGGCAGCATGTGCACATACCTGCCACGTGCAGTAGGAGAGACAGCATGGCCCTTGCCCCAGAGCCCCAGTACTCACCAGTGCCTCCTTTTCCCAGGACCCTCACGTGGATCAGTACGAGGCCAAAGAATGGACATTTGTTATTGAGAATGTGAGTGGCCGGGCAGGCTGGGGCCTGGGCTCCTGGGGACTCTGGGGCAGCACTGATGCCCCTGCCCCCGGCCCCTCTCCCTGGCCCATAGGAGTCCAAGGGGCAGCGGAAGGTGCTGGCCACCGCCGAGGTGGACCTGGCCCACCACGCGGGGCCTGTGCCGGCCCCAGTTCCCCTGCGGCTGCGGCTGAAGCCCAAGTCGGTGAAGGTGGTGCAAGCCGAGCTGAGCCTCACGCTCTCCGGGGTTCTGCTGCGGGAGGGCCGCGCCACGTGAGTGCCCACCCTCCTTCCTCGGCCTTGGTCTGCAACCTCTGACCCCAGCCCTCACCCCTGACCTCTGACCTCCCCAGGGACGATGACATGCAGAGTCTCGCGAGCCTCATGAGCGTGAAGCCGAGCGATGTGGGCAACCTGGACGACTTTGCTGAGAGTGACGAGGAGGAGGCTAATGGCCTGGGGACCCCCGAGGCACGGGCTCGTGTGCCCCAGCCAGGTGGGCTCACAGCCTGCCATGGATGAGATCACCAAGACCTAGGGAGGGTAGGGGATAAGCTGGGCGGGAGCCGCTTGCTGTGCGGGGGGGGGGGGGGGGCGGCCCGCGTGCGCATGCCCAGTTTGGGGGCTCGCTCCTGCCCAGGCAGTTCCAACCTGCCCAGCAGCTCTGACTGTCCAAACTTGGCTCCTGGTCCCATGGCGGCCTGGGTCCTTAGCTGAGTCCCTCAGGCCCTCTCCTCAGCCTCAAGTGGGTGCCTGCCCAGGTCGGTACCTGCCCTGAGCTGGCTGGGCCAAAAGCACAGCGGGGCGATGCAGTCCAGTCTCGCCAGTCCTCACCACCCACCCTGGTGCTCAGCCACTAGCTTCCTCATCCCTCCCTTTGGCTTGTTAAGGCTTTGTTTCTGTCTGTCCTTGTGGTTTTCTCTCTCTCTTTCTCTGCATCGGAGGGCCTGTCTCTTCTCGCAGGCCAGGGCGGCGCCCTGAGGCTGGGGCGTTTCCCAGGTAGGCCCAAGACTCTGGTTGGGGGGAAGGGGTCAGACCTGCAGGGCCCTCCCTGGGCTGACCTGCCCCCCATCCCCACCCCAGACCAATCTCGGGAGCTGAAGACACTTCGTGAGGAGGAGGAGGAGGGCCGGGTACAGCCCCGGCAGGCAGGTGAGGCCCAGGCTGGGTTTGGGGCTGGGGAGGGAACGGACCTCCAGTTTCAGGGCCCAGGCCTCAGCGCCCCACCCTTCCTTCCTCCCCAGCTGCCAGTCCTTCTAGTGCGGAGGATACCAGCCCAGCCCCTGTGAGTGCCCCTGCGCCCCCAGCCAGGGCCTCCCGGAGCCAGGGGTCAGAACCAGCTACTGTAGCAGGGGGCCAGGTGGGGCTCAAGTCCCCCAGACCCCCGGGAACCCCACCAGAGAAGAGGTGAGCTTTGGAATGAGTCCCACCTCCATCCCCTGCCCCACTGTTAGAAAACTGCATTCCCCCTGCCAACCTGCCTTTCCAGTGCCCTAGCAATCTGACGGGTGGGGATGGGGCTGACAGTGGGGAGCCACATGGGTTCCCCAATGCTTTCTCCTGGTCTCTCCTCAGGTCCTCAAGGCAGCCAGGCCAGGATGTGGCCCCCAGCCCAGCACCTCGGCTCCGGAAAGGCTCTGATGCCCCTTGGCCCCCAGGCGCCCAAGGGGAAGATGAGGCTCCCAAAGCCTCAGGGGCTCCCCTAGCAGGAGTGGGTTCCTCTGGGGAGACCGAGGCCCAGGAAAGCCCTCAGGAAGGGACAGAGGCTCAGGGAGCCAGGCTGGGCCGAGGCATTGAGGATGGAGACTCCAGAGACCCTTTGGTAGGGCAGAAACCCGAGGTGGAGGAGGGGAACCGTGGGGACAGGCCAGGGGCTAGAGGGGTGGACACTGAGCAGGAGTCAGGAGTCAGAGAGGTGAACACTAAGAGGTCAGACATCAGAGCGGGGAAGGCTGAAGAGAGTTTAGAAGTGAGTCAAGTGGATGCTGAGCAGAGGTCAAAGGTGAGACATGTGGACACTAAGGGACCAGAGGCTATAGGAGTGATGTCTGAGGCAAGATTCAAGGAGACTCCCGAGGCTCCTCCAAGGGGCTCTCAGGGGAGGTCAGGGGTCAGGACCAGGGATGAGGCTCCCGCAATTCTGAGCACACCCCCAGCAGAGCCTGCAGGGCACACCAGGCATCTTGGTGACCTTAAGGGGGCCAGGGCTGCCACAGGCCAGGAGAGAGGGGGTGCAGAGGTGAGAGGCAGAGCTCCTGGTGTTGGGGGGACAGGCCCGGAGCTGGGTCCCTCTGTTGGAACAGCAAGCGTCAGGCCCCAGGTGAGCAGGCACCAGGGGGCCCCACCAGCAGCTGACCAGGGGGTAATGTCTAGGGATCTGGGGTTCTGGGAGGCAGAGGCTGGGGATTTGAGGGTCCTGGGAACGGAGTCAGAGGTACTGGGGAATCAGGAGACAGAAGTGGGGGGATCAGGGTTCCCAGAGATAACGAATGGGACAACAGAAGCTAAGCTACTGGGGGCCCAGGAGACGGAGACCATGGGATCAGGGGTCCTGGACTCAGAGGCTGCTGGAATGGCAGAGTGTGAGGAACTGGGGACCCGGGAGCTAGCTGGGGGTTCAGGCGTACTGAGGGTAGAGCCTGAGAAAGCAGAATCTGAAATACGGGGGGCCCAGGAGACAGAGGTGGGAGGTTCCAGGATGCCAGAGACAGAGGCTGGGAGGGCAGAGGCGGAGATATTGGGGACCCAAGAGACAAAAATGGGGGGTTCAGGAATGAAATCTGAGATAGCAGGGACCCAGGAAACAGAGGTAGGCAGTTCAGGGGTCCCAGGATTCAAGACTAAAACAGCAGCAGCTGAGACACTGGGGACCCAGGAGCTAGCAGCTGGGGGTTCAGGGGTCCCAAGGATAGGGGATGACATAGCAGGAGCCCAGGAGACAGAGGTGGCGGATTCAAGGGTTTTAGGGCCAGAGGTTGGGATGGCAGAGGCTGAGGGCCTGGGGACTGAACAGACAGAAACTACAGTGTTAGAGGCTGAGAAGGTGAAGGCTAAGACTTTGGGGATCCAGGAGGCAGAGACTGGGCTCGGGGGGACCCTCAAATATGAGGCTTTACAGGACTCCATCACTAAGCATGGAGTTTTAGGGCCCCAGGGAGTAGAGGCAGAGGCAGAGACTACAGTTTTGAGGGTCCAGGAGGAGGAAGCTGGGGTTTGGGGGGTTTCAGAGGCCAAGTCTGGGGCTTGGGGGATCCCGGAAGCAGAGATGGAGGGTTTAGGGCCTCCAGAGAACAAATCCAGGGTTGTGGAGGCCCAGGAAGCACAACCTGGGGTCTCAGGGACTGAGAAGGGAAAAGAAGCTGAGGGAAACCTCCCAGAGGCAAGCCTGACTGAGGAGCAGGTAGCCAGTGGGGCAGGGGCCGGGGTGCCCAAGCCCTCGGGGGCCTCTTCCCCAGAGGAGCCTGAAGAGGACGGGAGGCTGCCGGGCAGCCAGGTAGGGATGGGGGCCGCCGAGGGCCCAGTCTGCTGCTTCCCACTAACCTGGGGCTGAGCTAACGGCGGCTCTGCATGGACCCACCTGGTCGACTGGGGTGTGGTGGGACAGGGGCTCAGCTTCAAGGAGCCCCCCTCACCCTCTCCTCTCTCAGGATGCCCTGGCTCCCCCATCTTGTCTTCCCTGGGCTGCATGGAGCCGGACACCCCTAAGCTGATTTTCTGGGCTGACCTTGAGGTGTGGCTGCTGGTGACCTCTGATCTTGCCTGGGGGCCACTGACCTTTTAGGTGACCTTGGTAGATAACCACAGGGCAGGAAACCCTTTTGCCTGGTCCCAGGGCTCTGGCCAGTGGTCTCTGGTGACTCCTGCAAACCCAGAGCTGGGGCTATTTTCTGCCCGAGGGGCAGAGGGTACTGTCCTATGTTCACATTCCCTGAGCCGATCCTTGTGTCCCTAGGCACCGCCTGCCCCAGTCAGCTCCAGTCAATCCCTGCTGGAGTGGTGCCAGGAAGTCACCGCTGGCTACCGAGGCGTCCGAGTCACTAACTTCACTACATCGTGGCGCAACGGCTTGGCCTTCTGTGCCATCCTGCACCGATTCTACCCAGAGAAGATGTGAGCTGCCAGGGGGGTGGGGGTGGGAATGAATGAGGGAGCCTCGCGGGAGGGCAGTGTGAGGCCAGCCTCTGACCAGCCCTCTCTCTCGCTCGCTCGGCAGTGACTATGCCTCCCTGGATCCACTCAACATCAAACAGAACAACAAGCAGGTGAGATGGGGAGGGAGCAATGCCTGGAGGGAAGGGTTCTAGAGCCAGGCGGTAGGACCAAGATTTAGGGCCGGTCAGTCTTTAGGAGAGGAATCGGTGGGCTGCAGGGCCCCAGCCGTGGACTTTGGAAGTTCTGCCACTTTATACTCTCTTGGGCTTTAAATTGTTCGTTTTCCGTAGTTTAGTTTAGTTTTGTTTTAAAGCATATTTCCACCAGATGGTTTTTCCGAAACCACCCTTTGGTGTGCAGTTGCTGGGTGACGTGGGGGCGGGCCCTACTGCTAGATCTCCCCCAATAGAAGGGAGAAGGCGTTGCTAGGCCAACCCCGGCGTGCGGCTCGCCGGGGCTCCTCGGGCGGTCCGGGGCGGGGCTGCAGCGTCGCTGGGTAACGCCCGCCGCCGCCGCCGCTGATCCCCAGGCCACCGTTCCTAGGCCTTCGATGGCTTCGCGGCCCTGGGCGTTTCGCGGCTGCTGGAGCCGGCGGACATGGTGCTGCTGTCAGTGCCCGACAAGCTCATCGTCATGACTTACCTGTGCCAGATCCGCGCCTTCTGCACCGGGCAGGAGTTGCAGCTGGTGCAGCTGGAGGGCGGCGGCGGCGCTGGCACGTACTGTGTGGCCAGCGCCCGGCCGAGCCCGCCCGACGGCCTGGACGCCGGGGGCCTGGCGCAGCGGCTGCGCGAGCACCGGGCCGAGGCGCCGGAGGAGCCCAAGGGGCCCAAGGGGCCCAAGGAGCCCGAGAACCGCGCGGACGGGGCGGCTCCCGAGGCGGCCTCCAAGGACCACGGTGCCGAGGCCGCCCAGGAGGCGCGCGCGGCGGAGGCCCCCGCCGACGGCCCCGGAGCCCGGGCGTCCGTGGCCCCGGCCGAAGGGCTGGTGAACGGGGCTGGGGCGCCGGGCGCCGGGGGCGGCGTGAGGCTGCGGCGGCCGTCGGTCAACGGGGAGGCCGGGCCGGTGCCCCCGCCCCGAGCGCACGGCTCCTTCTCCCACGTGCGCGACGCCGACCTGCTAAAGAAGAGGCGCTCGCGGCTGCGGAACAGCAACTCCTTCTCGGTGGACGACGCGGACTCGGGAGCGGCCGGAGCGGCCGGAGCGGCCAGAGCTTCCGGAGCCGCGGCTGCAGTGAGTGCCCTCCTCTGGCGCGGGGATCCGGGGGAGCGGGGCAGAGAAGCACGGGCCCGGAGGGGCCCCAAGGGCAGAGCTGGCCCAGGGTGGCCGCTTCAGGGCAGCGGGACCCAGCTGGACCCGGCGAGGCGCTTTCTCAGCGGAGGGACCGCGGAGCCACGGAAGAGTCCGCTGGCGAGGTAGTGAGCTCCTGCTCTGGGGACACATGGAAGCCGAGGCCCCCCAGGCTCGGAGCGGCGGCCAGGGCAGAGTCTCCACCTCTGTTGCCAGCCTGGGGATATATGCTAATGGTTTTTAATGCTTGACACCCAAGTAGTAGAATCATGGGCTGGAGTAGGAAGTTCCTGGAAGGCTCCATGTTTTCAGCACTCAGCGCACTCTTCTTTATGGACTGTAAAATGGGTTGGGGCGTTTCTTTCCCTGCAGGGGTGGACCCAGGAGCCACCATTGCCCTGTAAGCGGGGACAGAGCTTCTGTGGGACCATCCAGGGCCTCCCAACCCCAAGTAATCTCTGACTTGGATCTTTAACTCCAGGTCCTGGAGACCCATTCTTCTCTGATAACGGGAGGATGGAGACCGTAGACCCTGCCGGGTGCCGATGTCCCCCACCCCAGCCCCTGCAGGTCTCAGGTTAGGGGCTCTCAGGGTGTCACATGGTCACTGCACTGAAGGGGAGATGGTCCCGGAGAAGGCAGGGATCTGCTCAAGGACTCAGAGCCGCTGAAGTGGCTTTCCTAGCTGGGGTTCCTTCTGCCCACTGCACCTGTCCTGCCTGCGACAGCAGGGACAGCTCTGTCAGGCCACCCAAGCCTTCAGCTGCCTGGGGATGACCCCTAAGTTCTAAAGAAAGGAGGGCACAAACTGGGACAGTCTTTCTGGAAGAAGCAGCCATGTGAGCAGGGCTGCTAAGGTGGGCAAGCTTTCCCAGATGAAAACTGAGAGGGGGTGGTTCTCAAGTGGGGGGAACCTGCTGCAGTAAAAGTGTGTTAGCAGGAAAGCTCAGGTTTCATTTAGGGATCTGCCTGCCACTCATCTCCCGGAAGGCCCGCAGGTGGTAGTGAGGCTGGCTTGCAGAGCAGGAGCCTTGAATACAGAGTCAGAGGCACGGCATTGTGAATGAGAGACAGGGAGAGCACTGGAGGCACCCATAGGAGATGTTTGGCAGGGGTCAGACACAGCCACCCATGGCCGGTCTGTTGGCTTCTGGCCACAGCCTCCTTGATGTGTGTCAGTGGCTCTTTAAATCTTAAAGGGGAGGCTCCATCCTATACCTTTCCCTGCCCAAGTCCCAGCATCTGGTCCTTCCAAGCCAGGCCCCTGTCCAGCCCTTGTCCCACAGGAGATATTTGACCCATAGGCCTGGAAGGGAGTCCTCCTTTTTTTCCCCCCTAAAGATTTATTTATATATTAGAGAGAGAGTGAGAGAACCGGGGGGCGGGGGGCGGCAGAGGGAGAGAGAGAATCTCACGCAGACTCTGTGCTGAGCGCCAAGCCCGATGCAGGGCTCGATCCCACGACCCTGAGATCATGACCTGAGCGCAAACCAAGAGTCGGACGCTCAACCGACTGAGCCACCCAGGCGCCCCAGGACTCCTCCTTATTGGCCATTCCCATCCCCCATGCCCGTGCATGAGGTGGGAGGAGGTCAGGCCCGTCCCTGCCCTTGGGAGCTCCCAAATTCCTGGATGGGATGAAGTCAGGCACTTTGAAGCTGGGGTGGGGCTGAAGCAGCAGAATGAGGAGAGCAGGGTGCCTCTGCCCAGTAAGGCTTCCTGGAGGAGGGGCCACACATGAGGGTGTAGAAAGGGGAATTGGGGTCAGACATGAGGAAGTATTGGAATTCCCATCAGGGCTGGTGTGAGTAAGCTCAGTTGTTGCTGAGGTTGGGGTTTCTCCTTCACTCTCCTACCTCTGCCTGCTCTGTGGGTGGAGTGCCCACTTTTCTGTGCCTGGCCTGCCCCCATGACCCTTCATCAGTTCCTAACTGACTCCGCACAATGCCCCTTCCAGGGAGGAACGATTACCCCATTTTGCAGGTGGGAGCATTGAGGCTCACGGAGATGAAGAAAGAGGCAGAGGAAGTTGAGGTTCACCTGTGAATCCAGAATTCTTAAATGGCACTTTCTACTAGGCCCTGCCGTATTGACTGGCTGTGTGACCCCAAGGAAGCCATTTAACCTCTCTGTGCTCTTTCCCTGAGGATGAGAAACAAACGCATGAAAGTTTCTCGCAGAGTGGTCTTGAGACACCACTTCAGGGTGCTGTCAAAAAAGGGGAACTGTGTTCTCCCCCAGATGCCTTTCTGGAGCTCTGCAACCCCCAGCTTACACAGGGCTGGACTTTCTCCCACATACAAAGATACAAGCAGAGGCCCAGTGGGTATGACTGGCCCAGAGGCAAAGAGCAAATTGGTGGCCAAGCTTGGGAACAAATCTTTGGATTGGATAGCCCTGGGTCCTAAGCCAGGCTCTGTATGAGCCTCATCTCTGACTTCCAGTTTCCTCATCTGTGAAGTGGGGCTGGTAATCACCCTTGACTCACAGGGTTGTTGGGGGAACTAAAGGAGTCAATACACGCGCAGCACCCAACGCATAAATATTTAGTCAATGACCTTTCGTAGGTGGGCCCCGAGTGCCTCCTCTGGGCCCCACTCTGTCTGCAGGGGCTACCTCTAGGCAGGGGAGACATGGGTAACCAGCAGCCATGAGGGGGTGGGCGCTGTGGTGGGGAAGGGCCTGGGAAGCCATGGCGGGAGCACTGTCCAGCCTGGGGATCAGTGAGGCTTCAGGAGGTGTGAAGGTCAGGAAGGGGGACAGAAAGTCGTGTGGGAGCCCGAAGGGGCCTCGAGGAGGTGGAGCTGAGCTGGGTCATGAAGGTTGCTGATGTTAGGCAGCCCCAGATAGAGGCCAGCCCAGGCTGAGGAAGCTATTTGGGGAAGCGAAAAGTCCGTGCCTGTGGCTAGGGGGTGGTGTCCGGGGGCGGTTTGGGGTAGCAGGAGTTGAGGTTGGAGCTGCCACCAGGCCTTGACAACAAGGCTGGGGGCTGAGAGGGGCCGGGGGAGAGTGACACCAGCAGGTGAAGGTTTTAGGAAGACCCCTCAGTTGTGACTTGAGGGTAGAGTCAGCAGGCAGGGCGTGGGGAGTGGCCGGTGAGGAGGCTGCCATCGACCTGGGCCACAGAGGATGGCACCTGAGTGGGGTATGTCCAGCGATGCCTCTCAGAGAAGTGCAGGGTGGAGTGGACAGTGGGGTGGTTCAACCCCTTCCTCCTGTGACCCAGAAGGGTTGGCCAGAGCAGGAGCCCCATCCAAAGGGGCTGGGCTGTCTGCTGACCTGAGCCCCCAGAGCTGCCTCTCCCAGCAGGTGGCCAGGGGTGGGGCACATTAAGGACCAGCCCTGCCTTTCCAGGCTAAAATGGGTAGGTCCAGCCAACCTGACCTTTTCTGAGTGTTCTGTGGAGAGCACAGCAGGCTCTAGGCATGGACATTGATAAGGTGGGAGGGTGCCCCCTTTTGGCCAGGATATGGAGGTGCCGGCTCAGGATGGCCTAGGTTCGGAGATGAGGTGCATCAGGTCAGCTCGGTGTCACGGTGTCACTGTGTGGCCCCTGGCCATGATGGAGACGCAAGCACTAGGTGATGGGAGTCGGAGGTGGCCTGAGGGAGCTCCATGGAGGAGGGGGCGAGAGGGGGAAGGAGAGGCCCCAGCCAGGCCCTTCTCAGCCTTTCAGCCCTGACTCTCACAAAAGCCCCTGAAGCCAGGGTCATCAGCCCAGCCCGGGGAATGAGGACTGTGAGGCTCCAAGCGTGGGAGTGGACTGGCCCAGGACCACAGGACCAGGGAGGGTGAAGGCCGTGACCTTTGCTTGAGGAGGCACTTTCCTTAGAGGGGGTGGGGGTGGAGTTCTGTGAAGCAGGACTGGAGAAGCAGCTGAGTGGGCAGGGCCTGAGGTTGAGGGCCCCTCCTGCCCTATGTGTGCAAGAGGCTCTGGCCGGCCCCAGGGCGGGGCTGTTGGGAAACCCCTCCAAGACCTCACTGGCCTCTTTCTCCACAGGAAGGCCTGAGCCCTGACCCCGGCCCTGCCCCTGGCCCACCCACGGCCACAGCCCCACAGCAGTCCCCTGGTGAGTAGTTTTGCAGGACTAGCGGCCCAGCTCAGCTCAGGCTGTTCACAGGTCCTGAGCTGGGGAACCCCTCGGGGGCCGGTGTCAGTTGGAGGTGCTTTAGCTTGGTTTCTGCCTGCAGGTGGGAGTCCCCCATCAGAGGAGCCACCCCCAAGTCCAGGGGAAGAGGCTGGGCTGGTAAGGAGATCTGTGGTGGGTGGAGCTGGTGGGTGGCACTTCCTAGGCGGAGCCTGGGCTGAGCCCACTCTGTTCTTTGCCCCCCTTTTTTGCAGCAAAGGTTCCAGGACACAAGTCAGTATGTGTGCGCAGAGCTGCAGGCCCTGGAACAGGAGCAGAGACAGATAGATGGGCGGGCAGCCGAGGTGGAGACACAGCTGAGGAGACTTATGGAGTCAGGTGGGGCAGGCATCTGGAGTCCACTGCCCAACACATGCTACCAGATCTGCCTAGCCCTGCAGCCCTTCCCGATCTGGGGAGGAGGTGGGAGGAGGCAAGGCTGGGGTCACTGTCCCCATTTGCAGCTGGGCAAGGGAAGCAGCTTGCTGGAGGCACACGGCTCTGGCTTCTGGGATGCCACAAGGAAGCAAGCCCCTTCCCCACTCCCCAGCCACCCTACTCCTGCCACCTGGTTTGGGGGCAGGCCTGGTGACTGTCCTGGCCTGTTTCAAGGTGCCGACAAGCTGCAGGAGGAGGTGCTGATCCAGGAATGGTTCACATTGGTCAACAAGAAGAATGCTCTCATCCGAAGGCAGGACCAGCTGCAGCTCCTGTGAGTGCAGACTGGCCCCGCCCAGTGCAGGCAGGCCCCGCCCAGGGTGGGTGCCAACCCCAGCCAATCCTGGGCCCGCAGAACAGAGGGACTCTTGGCTGCTTCGATTACAGTTATTCACCGCTTTTTTCTTTCTGCAAAGATCTTTTTGAAAAATTGTTCAGTCATCTTATTTTTTCCCCTCAAAAGTCCTGTATAAGTTGTACACCTTTTAAATTGGTACTATTTTTATGAATCAGAAAACCAAGGCCCAGAGGAAAACGTGGTACAGGCAGGTCAGGGCTGAGTGCCCCAGTTTGACCCTGTTTATTTACAATAAGGATAACCGAGGCTCAGGGAGATCTGAGCTGGTTTCCCAAGTGGGGTCACACGCGACTCTGGGCCATGACTGTTTTTCTAGTCCTGCAGGATGAAGGCAGTTTTGCTTCCCTTTTGCATTTTGGATCATTTTTCGGAATAATTCTAGTCTAATACTTGCTGTTTATGAATAATGTTCATCCAAATAATCCTGCAAGGTTGTTTCTTAATTGGAAAACAAAAAAGAGCAGTGGGGATGGGAGGAGACAATATAAACACCCAGCATTTGGAGAACAGTTGGAAGGAAGATGATTTGGCGCGGGGACAGGGGTATAGCGCCGCTCTCAGCCCAGCCCTCCCGGCCAACGGGTAATGAGGTAGGATGGGGGCACGGAGAGCGGTCAGAGCCCTGGGACCCCTCCCCCTCCCGTTCCCCTGTCCCTGACCCACCTCCACCCCCTCCCCCACCCCAGCATCGAGGAGCAGGACCTGGAGCGGAGGTTCGAGCTGCTGAGCCGGGAGCTACGGGCCATGCTCGCTATCGAAGGTGGGAGATGGGACCTGGGAGATGGGGCGGGAGGGGCTGAGAGCCAGGACGGAGCAGGGGCCGGCGCCTCCTGACCCTCAGCCTCTTCCGCCCTCAGACTGGCTGAAAACGGCCGCGCAGCAGCACCGAGAGCAGCTTCTGCTGGAGGAGCTGGTGTCGCTGGTGAACCAGCGCGACGAGCTGGTCCGGGATCTGGACCACAAGGAGCGGATGTGAGTGGAGTAGGGTCCGCGCTGGGAGGTGGGGGGGTGGGGGGGGAGGCAGACCAGGCCAGGGGCCCCCCGACTCTGACTTGAAGCCGTTTCCCTCGCAGCGCCTTGGAGGAGGACGAGCGCCTGGAACGCGGCCTGGAGCAGCGGCGCCGCAAGCTGAGCCGGCAGCTGAGCCGGCGCGAGCGCTGTTCGCTGAGCTGAGGCCCCGCCCGCTCGCCGCGCAGGCTTTGTCGCCGCCGCGCGGGGTCGCCGCCCGGGGCTGGCGCTCCGGAGGACCCGGGCCGCACGGCCCGCAGCGCGCCGCTTGTGGGGGCCGCCGCCGTCCCCGCACCGGGCGGAGGAGGGCGGCCCCTGGGGCCCGACCGACGGGAGCGGCTGGGCGGCCGTGCCGTCCGGGCCGTATTTATTTGTCCTTGTGAGTGCGTGTGTTCGCGGGGCCGGGCGGGGGGGAGGGTCCCAGGAGCGCCCCGCAGAACAACCCCTCCCCGACGGCAGGGCCCGGGCCGGCCGCCTGGGTGAGCAGGGAAGGCCGCTGAACCGCTGCGCCCCCGCCCTCCCCCCTTTCCTGATCGTCGCGAGCAATAAAGTTGGACGAGGCTACAGCAGCGCGGGCCTTTCTCAGGACTGGGGTTTTCAATAGACGGAAGGGGGTGGGGCTGGGGCCGATAAGGTTGTCTGCGAGCCCAAGTGGGGCCCGTGCGGGCTTTGAGGTTCCCAGAGGCATCGGGGGCCCTGCTCGGCCTTCACCTTCAAAGGATGGTGGGTTTGTTTTTTTTTAATATATATATATTTTAAGATTTTATTTATTAACAGAGAGAGGGAGAGCGAGAGAGGGAACACAAGCAGGGACAGTGGGAGAGGGAGAAGCAGGATTCCCGCGGAGCGGGTAGCCTGATGCGGGGCTCGATCCCAGGACCCCGGGATCACGACCCGAGCTGAAGGCAGACACTTAATGACTGAGCCACCCAGGCGCCCAAGGATGGTGGGGTTTAAGGATGATGGGATTTGGGTCGTTGATCGCTTTAGAGGTCCCATGTTGAAAAGAGACGAAAACAGTCGGAGTTATTGCCCCCCCCTTTTAAAATACACTATAGCCTGAGGTCCTTAGAGTTACTCCCTCCCCTCCCCTCTGGAGGCTTCCTCATCGTCGTCAGTCTTGTCCATCTGAAAGGAGCTCAACTCCCTCACCTGGCCCCTGTCAGCAAGTTGAGGCCTGTTCTGGGGCTGCAGCCAAGGGGGGCAGGGTGCTCAGAGCCAGTTCATCCTGGCCCAGGATGTCGCCTTGGTCTTCAGCAGTCAACGGGCCACTGGACCCAAAGAATGTCACCAGGGCACGGACCTGTGGCAGCTCTGAGAAGGTCTCCACAGCCAGCAGCGTGGCCAGGAGCCCGAGGAGCAAGTAACCTGGCGAGGAGAGATTGCTGGGGCAGCTCTTGGGGGGCCAGGGATGCTCCCTGCCCCCCTCCCAGGCAGGTGACCTGCCACCCCCGGCACCGGTGCCACTCAATCCTCTTAACCCAGCCATCAGGGTTCTTCCAACCACAACTCGCACACCACACCCTGGGGCCGTGGCCCTGCACCTGTGCGCTCAGCCTCCCCAGCCGTGATGGGAGTCCTGGTCCCAGCTCCCCTTCCCCGGTCTCCTCTCCCTCCCACTCCGTGGCAGCTGGACTCACCGAGAAGCGCCAGCTGGCCAAGGTGGTAGAGCACGGGGTGCAGGCCACGGCCACGGCCCGGCAGCAGGTCCCCCAGGCCCAGGGTGCTGAGCGAGTTGAAGCAGAAGTAGACGGCCTCCAGCAGGCCGCAGTCACCCCGCAGACCCCACAGCACCAGTGCCGGCAGCAGCACGAGGGTCGCAGCCGCTAGCAGGCCCCATCCAGCCGCCTGCAGCAGTGCGGCCCCGGCCGGGGCCAGCGGCCACTGGCCGGCCACGCAGGCACCTGGGCAGCTGAGCAGGGGCAGCAGGCGGCGGCGCAGTGTGGCCAGGAGCACTAGGGAGGCCGGCAGCCCCAGGGCTGCGTAGAGCACGCAGAAAGCCTTTCCACCTGCCGATAGTGGGGCCATGTAGCCATAACCTGGAAAGGAGAGAGGCGCTAGGCAATGAACACTTGAGTGCGATGCCAGGTGGAGCCCCCCTTCCCCCAGCAAGGCCTCTGGCAGAAGGCTGCCCTCTGCTGGCCGAGATGGTGGGAACTGTTCAGGCCCAGGCTCCGGCTGGCTGGCTTTGCTCCTCATTTGCTGGGCGTCTTGGGCAAGTCGCTTAACCTCTCTGGCCACTCTTCTCAGTTGGTTACGTGTCCCGACTCTTGATTTCAGCTCAGGTCATGATCTCAGGGTCATGAGATCAAGCCCTGTGTGGGGCTCTGTGCTGAGCCTGGAACCTGCTTAAAATTCTCTCTCCCTCTCCCTCTGGGCACTGTCCCCCCTCCCCCCAACTTCCCCCACTCTCAAACAAACAAACAAACAAACCTCTCTGGCCACTCTTTTCTGGAAAATATAAGGATTAGAGGAGGCAGTCACCTTAGGCCTCTTGTAGCTGGGATAGTTCTGAGAACTACTGTCCTGCCCAGGGGAAGGTTGGTTTTCTGATTCCTCAGCTCTGCCCTTGACCAATACAATACTTCCAAATCCTCTAGGAAGAAAGATACCCGCTCTTTCACTTCCCGAAGGTGTACTGAGACATCCCCTGCTAGGCCCTGCACTGGCATCTCGGTCTGCCCAGCCCCTGCCATGTGGTGGCAGGGACAGGCAGGAAAATTTAGGGAGAGGTGGGAGAGCAGGGTGTGCTCGGAGAACAGGACCGGCTAGTCTGGAGGTTGTAAACTCAAATGCCTAGATGAGCCAGATGGGAGACAAGAGGGAGTGGTGGGGACTGGGCTGGCCTGGAGAGGATGTGCTCTGCCCCGAAGAACAGGCCTATTCCAGACAATACAGAATCCCTTGCCAGATTCTAGCCCAAAGCAAATAGGTTTCCTGATTGTTCAACAGAAGTGGGCAATATAGACTTTAATTAAAAAAACACTTAGACACTTTGCAGGATGAAAAACATCCAGAGCTGTGGGTCCCATTCCTTTATTTCTCTGGGTCTTTGCACATGCTCCTCTCCCTGCCAGGAATTCCTTCATCCCTCATTTCTGTGCCCTCCTGCCATGGTTACTATCTCATCAGGACTTCCTCCCCCTGGACGCTCTCTCCTGAGTTGGTGGTCTTAATCTGTACTCCTGGGTTCACTCCATTTTCCTCCATCCAAGAATTCACCCCACAACACCTGTCCCCTGACCTTGCCTCAGGCCCTGGGGTCTGGGCATCTCTCCTGGGTCTTAGGGGGTGTCAGGGGGTGTGGCTGAGGAGGACACACCCCACCTGGCAGCTGAAGTTGAGGCACCAGTTGGGGTGTTGATGTGGGAAGCCCCGGGTGTGACGTCAGGCCTCATCAAGCCTGGGCTCTGTCTGGCATGTGGGGGCTGGGAGAAGGGCTACACCCCCAGGGCCCCCAGGAGCCCCCTCCTGCCCGGCCGCCTGGCGGCCTTACCCGTGGTGGTGAGGATGCTGGCAGTGAAAAGCAGGGCCGAGGGCAGATCCCACTTCCCGGCCTCTGAGCCATTGCCCAGGCTGGAGACCCCGTGTACCTGGGCTGCCAGGGCGGTGCCCAGCAGCTCCTCCAGGGCCCCGGGGGGCAGGCAAGCCCCATACTCTGCCTGGAAAGTGGCCAGCTCGGCCCTGAGCTTGGCCTGGAGCTGGAGTGCTGGAGGCCCCTCCAGGGCCTGAAGCACAGCAGCCCCAATCCCCAGGGCCAGCAGGTGGGCCACAACCAGTAGTGGGAACCGGGCCCAGGGCCTCAGAGCGCCCATGGCGAGCCGTCTGGGGTTGGAGGTGCTGTGGGAGCCGAGTGCCGACTGCTCCAACCGCAGACACCGGGGAAGGGCTGGGCAGGGCGCGGCTGGGAGGAGGTGCTGCGTGGGCAGCTGGGACGCAGCGAGGCAGAGTGTCAATGGGCTTGGAGGAGACCGGGGTCCCTCCTCCCAGCTTCTGGGGCCAATTCCCTGCAGCTGGGGGGATGCGAGTGGGGTGCTGCGGGGTGAGGCCTGAGGAGATAGTGACTGGCTCAAAATCACGCTGCGGTGGTTAATTCGAGGAGGCGCTCGGTCATGCACACTCCATTCGGCCGCTCAGCGAGTACCAAGTTCACATGGTCACATGTGTCCTGAAGTTTTGGGGGGGGGGTTCCTCCGGGAGGCTCCCGGCGGAATGAAGGGTGACACTGCAGCTGGGGAACAGGAGAGGCCAGGCAAGGGGTGAGAGAGCTCGGGGCGTGAGAGGAACGGGGGGCTAGTTGTGGGCGGACAAAGGGGGTAAAGACGCAGGGCCCTGAGGACAAGAGTAGTCCAAGGAGACCTGCGGGCGGCTACTTCGGGCGTCCTGGAAGGAGGAGGGGAGAGGAGTGATAGGATTTGGGACGCGTCAGGTCGGGGCAGGGAGGGTGGTGAGTGGAGAGGAGCCGAGGATGCCCAGCGGCCCCTGGACAGATGAGGTGCTCACACCTCCGTTCTGAGTCCTCCCTGAGAACCCTCTGTGCTGGGCCCTCCTAACACTGGGGACCAGGTGGGTCTGGCTGCTGGGGAGTGCGCAGGGGTGGGGGAGCCTAGGCTACTGCTCCCCGCAACCGCGGAGGGGCCCTGCCCTGGGGCATGGTGTGGGGGTGGCTGCCCACAGAGCCCCGTGGCAGTTAGGAGGTGGGCAGGGCCCTGTGCCAGGGCAGGTCGCTCCTCCTGGCGCCAGACCACGGACTAGAGACAAACCCAGGACAAACCCCCAAGATGCTGCCCAGAGGGCTCTAGCCTCCCGAGCTCAGCGAGCTGCCTGTGGCGGGGGCTGCATGGCCAAGGAAGGTGTCCCAGAGGAGGTGATGTTGCAGCTGGGCGCTGAGGATAAGTGGGGACTGCCCAGCAGCAGGAAGAATCAGGGCAAAACGTCCCTTGAAATGGCAGGAAAGGCCTGGCAAGGGTGGGTGCCGAGGACGTCGAGGGCCTGGACCGCCTGACTGATGCCAGTGGACTGGACCCCAGCCGAGGCCCAGGCCGACTGCCCATTGTGCTGGGGGCTTGAAGTCACCAGGTTTGCGTGACAGGTTGGATCCCCCGGTTACCTCCAAAAAGGTGACAGGCTATGCTTGGGGAGACAGCTTGGGGAGTTTATTTGGCTTCATTGGATCCCGAGGCCGAGGCCCCAACCCTGGCCGGGGCAGCAGGAAGGCACCAGAGAGTCCTGGCCCCAGATGACCCCCAGGCTGGGGGGGGGGGTCCAGGCACTAAGCCCTGGGGCAGGGGCCACAGTAGCAGGGCTTGGTCCAAAGTGCTGGTGACAGCTGAGGCTGGCCCCTCTCCCCTGCACTTCCCCTCCTTCCTACGCCACCCCTGGGGGCAATTCCCTGAGACAGGCTCTGGTCCTCCCAACCAGCTGGGTACAGTGTTGGGCCCCAGTGGGGCAGGTAAGTCGGGGGACCTACAGGTTGCAGGTGTGTGGGGGGTGTAGGCCCCCCATCCAGTGTGAAGGCTTCCTGTGCAGTGTAGTGTTCCTGACCCCCAAAGGGGGTGGGGTCCCTGGGGGAAACCGGGCAGCTCCAGGCTTGCCCGGCTCCTGTTCCAGTGTATACCGTGGGTTCTCTAGGGCAGCTGGAGCATGGGGGAGCGCCCGGCCCACTCAGGGCCCTGCCTCTGGCGCCCACGGGGCCTGGGCACCTATGTCTTTGGTCTGTGCCCTGCAGTCCTGAGGGCCCCCCCGGAAGGGGTTGGCGGGTGGAGAGTCCCAGAAGGGGTCTGAGTCTGGGAACAAGGTCCAGGGTGCCCGGCGGGGCGCAGGCTGTGGCGAGGACAAAGGCGAAGGCCGTGGCCCAGCTGACACGAAGCTCCACGGGTCGATGCGGCTGCGAAGGGGTGAGGGCCGGGGTCGGCTGATGAGGCCCAGGGGCGGTGAGCGTGGGGTGCCTGGGGTGCCAGGAGCGGAGCGTGATATCCCCGGTGGGGGTGAGACAGTGCTTCCTAGGAAGTGGGGGGAGGGGGCACCGGGGTCAGGCAGCCACCAAATCCTGGGTGTCCGCAGGAGGCACTGCCCGGCTCTGTGCCTTAGTTTTCCCACCTGCACAGGGAGCTGCTTGACTCAGAACGGTCCACGGCCCTTTCTGCTCTGTGGTGCATCTGTTTACGCAGTGCTAAGAGCAAGCCTGGGCCTGGATCCCAGCTCTGCCATTTACTGGTGGGAGCCTTGAGCCCCTTGATCTCTCTGTGCCTTAAGCTTCCTCATCTAGAACCTGGGTGTAACAAACGAGTATCTTGCTCACAGGGTCGCCAGGGTGGTTAAGTGAGACAAATCTCTCTCTATGGCAATAGGAACAGTACCTGGCGCAAGTTAGCAACCAGTAGGCGTTAGCTAGCTATCGTCACCTCACCTCACGATGATTATTCCTATTATTTCACAACCCGCCTGGCCGGGCCCCACCCCATCCCCCACCACTGGGTGGCTGAACTTAGAACTCAGGTCCTTACAGGCATTCCCCCGCCTTACTGCCCTGCAGGCCCCCAGCAGCTCCTCCTCCCCTCTCTCCCCCTGCAGCAGGCCGGCTTCGGCTTCGGGCCACTCACCACGTCTCTCCTCCTCGCGTCGGGGGCTCTTGGCGGACAGCTGGCCCACGGGGACCCCCAGCTCCAGCAGCAGGGGCGCAGGGGTGGGCGGGCCGGGGGCGTCCAGGCTCAGCGGGGAGGCGGGGGCGTCGGGCGTCTTGGGGGAGAAGCGGATGAGCTGGGAGGGGGGCGGCTCGGCGGGGGACGTGGTGGGCAGCGCGCGGGTCGTCGGCGGCGGGGTCTCCCCGCGCTCGCGGCCCGGGCCCCCCGGCGGCGGCTGCAGGTCGCGGCCCAGGCCCAGGGAGGCGAGCAGGGCGGTGCCGCGCAGCAGCGCGCGCTGGATCAGCTTGGGCGTCCCGGAGCCGCTGCCGCGCTCCGCCGGGCCTGGGCGCCGAGGCTCCTCGGGCTCCGGGCTCGGCCGCGGGGGGTTACCTGGCAGCGGGGGCGGGCACACGTTAGGCCGTCTTCGGGCGGGGGCCACGGGGACCCCTCAGTGGCCCTGGAACAAGGACCGAGGTCTGCTCCCCACCGACGTCTTCCCTGACTCCATTACTCCCCCACCCAGTCCCTCCCTGGGCACGGGGCCTCCCCCCATCTCTCTCTCTCTCTCTCTCACACACACACACACACACACTCTCTCTCTCTCTCTCTCTCTCTCTCTCCCTCTGGCCTTTCAGAAGACGCGGGTATGGGAGGCTGTGTAGTCAGCAGGAGCAAAGCCTGGGAGCCGGGAGATGGGGCGGGGGTGAGTCCACCAGGAGGCAAGCTGAGGTCAGATCCCATCTGACTTCAGTGGCCTTAATGGCCAGCCAGGGGCATCTGCAGGGCTCCAAGGACAGGGCTGGGACCTGTGCCCTATGCCCACCTCCTTCCTGGCTGGTCAGCCCCGGTCCTTCTGCCCACCTGCCCCAACTCCATCAGTAGCTTGTACAGAGCACACAGGTCAATTCCAATGTGTATACAACAGCCCCGAGAGGCACGCGTCACTGTCCCTATCCTAGAAATGAGGAAACTGAGACTCAGAGTGGTCGGTTAACCTCAGAGAGGTTAAGGTTGTGTCTAAGGCTGCACAGCCAGTGAGGGCCGGAGATGGCCTCACTCCAGGTGGAGGCAGTAAAGCCTTTGCTCTCTGCCACTTCCCAACCAGACCCTGCTCTGGATTTCAGGACATCAGTGTCCTGCCTATGGGCCTAAGCTTGGCCCGACTCCATTCTAGACCACCAGGGGTGAGTCTGGGGAACCGGACACTGAGAAGGTGGTGGTGGTAGGGTCCTATGGGCCTGTGATGGCCTCCTCAAAGCCCAATTTTGTCAAGTCCTCTTTGGCTCTAGAACTTGCCATGGCTCTCCATTACCACTAACATAAAGTCCAAGCTCCCTGGCTGGGCTTTCAAAGCCTTCCCTCACTCCACCTTGGGCCAGGCCTGGAGTTGGACATGGGGCTGGGCGTCCAGAGGAAGAAATTCGATGCTGGGGAAATTGAGCTTTTACTACCAGGACTCAGTTCAGGGTCCCTTTTCTCAGCTACAACTCTTACCCAGTTTCTCTGACCTATCTGCCCTCTACCCAGGCCACAGCCTTCTAAAATGCAAATAGGCTAAATTCCCCCTCATTTCCCGGCCCTTCCTGAACTGCCTCCTGCCTGCTTTTCCAGCTTCACCCACTCATTCACTCAACCGACATCTGCTCGAACTGGGCTGGGCCCCACAGACCCAGGGGACGAAGGCCTGGCCCCCCACCTGCTACCTGGGGCCTGCAACTCCCTGGCTCTCAACTCCCCTCCGAGTTCCAGCCAGGCTTCCTCTCCCTTGGGTGTGGGAAGCCCAGTGCCTGCACACACACTATTCCGTCTGCCCAGCACACCTTTCCCACCTTGGCTTTCTGTGATCCCTTATTCACCATTTAAGACGTATGTGAAGGGGGCGCCTGGGTGGCTCAGTTGTTAAGCATCTGCCTTCAGCTCAGGTCATGATCTCAGGGTCCTGGGATCGAGCCCCGCATCAGGCTCCCTGCTCAACGGGGAGCCTGCTTTTCCCTCTCCCACCCCCCATGCTTGTGTTCCCTCTCTCACTGTGTCTCTGTCAAATAAATGAATAAAATCTTAAAAAAAAAAAAAAAAAAGACCTATGTGAAGGGGCACGGCTTCTGTGAAGCTGTGATACTGTTAATTATAATAAAAAAATATCCATCAGGTTTTCATCTCATTCTTGATACAGAACTTTTCAAACTCTCAGATCTTCCTAAGTGATTGATTGACATAAGTAAAAGGGGCATCTTTTGCTCTTCCTAACCAGCCTTTTAATCACTTTTAAGTTCAGATTAATGAGGTCACTTTTGGAAAGCCCATAAGGATCGGGGTCTGGTTGCTGGGGGCACGAACCACGTGACTAGAGACCTGGAGATTGAGGTCTATCACCAACAGCCAATGGTTTAATCAACTGATCCCATCCACATAATGAAGGTTCCATCAAAACCCTAGCCAAAGGGTTCAGAGAGCATCCAGGTGGGTCAGCATGTGGAGGTGCTAGGAGAGTGGTGCCCCCAGAGAGGATACTGAAGCCCCACGCCCCCTCCCACATGCCTTGCCCTCCGCATCTCTTCCCTCTGGCTGTTCTCGATCTGTATCCTTTATAATTAACTGGTAATCTAGTAAGTAAGCTGTTTTCCTGAGTTCTGAGCTGCTCTAGCAAATGATCAAACCTGAGGAGGTCACGGGATCCTCCGATTTAGAGCTGGGTGGTCAGAAGCACAAGGGACAACTGGGCCTTGTGGGGACTGAGCCCTTAACCTGAGGGGTCTGATGCTAACCCCAGCCAGCCTGTGTCAGAACTGAACGTGAACCACACATTTGGTGTCCGCAGTGGAGTCAGTGGCACTTTCCTCTTTTAGAAGGTTCTGGAAGCCTCCTCATCGGAGCAGTCATGGCTCACGTCAGGCCTGATTCGGCCACTCCCTGCTGTCCGCTGCACTTGTTCCTTCATAAGCTGATTGATTCTGGTGGACGGGGGTCCACCAGACTAGGCCCGCCCCCAGGGCAGGGCAGGGCTGATTTCGAACAGGTCCATGCCTGGCTCATAAAACGCATCGATACATGCTGGATAGAAGAGTCCATTCTTATAATCCTTGCAACAGCCACACAAGGTGAGCGTTACTATACCACTTTGCAGGTGAAGAAATGGACCATTTATAATGATATTAAGCAAAACAGGGCACAAACATGTTTCAAACTGGCAGGAGAAATGAGATAGAGTTAAGAGGAGATGGAAGTCAGTACACAAAATGAAAGTGTAAAGACATTCCTGTGGTCAATGGCCTGAGAAACAAAGGTTTCCAAGAGATAAGTGCCTTGCTCAAGGTAATTCAGTAAGGAGTTCCCTGAACTTGCCTCTAAGCTTCCTAGCACGAGGAGCTGGCATCCCTGTGGTTTAGGATAAAGCAGTACAGCCATCCTGGACCCAGAGATGAAGGTGAAATTGCCTCCGTGGGGCCTCACAGCAAGGACGTGCCATGTGGTCGTTAGTAGCTCCGGGGCAACATGCTTCATGTTGAACCTGAACCAGAACCTCTGGGGCATGAGGATCAGAAGGGCTATTCCTTCAGTGTAGGCTGACTGCATCCACCAGCAGGCAACTCACTGCAACACGTTCCCCAGTAGTATGGCGTATGCCTGGGGCAATTTCATAGGGTCTTCTTTGATTCTCAGCCAGCCTTTTGGCTCTGTGGGTGGCTGAGAGATCAAGGTTATATACTCTCCTGGGCCCAAGATGGCCACTGGAGCGTGGGCTTGTGCTCAGGGAACCAGGTGCTCGGCCAGCAACTGGGCTGGGGTAGGTGCGATCCTTCCAGATAGGGGTCAAGCTTGAGTCCAGGCCCCTGTGTCCCACTCCTGCTTGCTGGGGAAGGTCAGGGCCAGAGGGCTCTGCAGAACATGGTAGGGGCTGCCTCAACCTACACACCTGGGTTGACAGGACTTTTAAGTTCTCTATTGGCCCTTCTAGCTTGGTACATTCTAAAGCAGGTGAATCCAAGATTCCCCCTTGGCCTTCCAATTCTCAATTCAGTCCCTGCAGCCCAGCCAGCTTGGGGCAGTGTGATTTCTGGAGTGGAGAATGGTGTGGCAGATGAGGGTCAAGGGTCCCACCTCTGGAGTGAGACCTGGGTTCAAATCTCTTGTTCTGCTGTGTGCACTACATCAAACCACACAACCCCTCTGCGCCTCTATAAGATGGTGCTAATAATAATACCCACTTCACAGCATTGCCTGGCACATAGGAAGGACCTAGTAAATGTTACCCGTTGTTACTACTATGAAAATGTAACTCAATAATGATGGAGGTGATATGCTGGGTGGGGTGACAGGGGCGCTGATGGGACCCAGAGGCAAGGAAGGATGCAGCTTTCTACCCCTTGCCAATCCTGAGCTGAGCTCTTACCCCTCTGACACAGGAGCCCTGCTCTCTGCCCAACCCCTTAGCTTCCCAAGCAGTGTGTATGTGCCCAATCCTTGCTTCAGGTGAAAGCTTCTAAGCCTCTCTGAGTTCAAATCCTCAGGTGAGGGCTCTAGGTAGGTTACTTTTCCCTCTCAGAGCCTCAATTTTCTCATCTCTGAAATGACAATAATAATAGCATGTTTCTCAATGGGTTGTTGCTCACATGGCATGCCTGGAGCCCAGTAACTACAGCTATCCTACTGGAGGACAGAAAAGCTCAGAACTGCCCTGGATGCAGTGAAAGCAGGCCCTGGATCCCCCCTGCTCAGCTTTTTTATCCTCTTCTCCACCTAGAGGACCCCCAGAAGGGACTCTGAGGAGCACAGTGTGGCAGCTACCTGCCTGGCTCCACTAGGCATGGGCAGTTTCCCTCCCCTCTCTGGACCCAGCTTCCCTTGGGTCCCAGATGGGGAGTACCATTCCCTGTCTTCCTTCCCTCCCTACAGCCTGCCGAGGCACAACAGCTGCCACAGGGCCATGACAGAGCCCTCTTGCATGCCAGGCCTGGACAAGAGGACCCCACTCTGGGCCCCCTGAAGCCTGGGCTCAGCTGTGGACCTATAGGTTAGATGTGGGTTCTAGGAACGGCCTACTCTACAGTTAACTTCTTGTAGTTCTCCCCATAGTACCCACAGGAGTGCAGCAAGAGTCTGCAGGAGGGTAGACAAGGTCACTCACCATTGAGCATTGGGGGTGTGGAAGGAGATCCCAAGGAGGATGAGTCATCTGAATCCAGGTACCACGTGGCTTCGTCCAAGCGGGACCTTCTCCTGGGGAGGGGAGGGGAGTTGGGCTTCATGAATCTCGAGACCACTGGAAGGCAGATGATGGCGGGGTGGGGGCACTCAGGCACTCACCTCCCATTCTGGGCTTCCCCAGGCTTGGGGGAACTGGGACCCCAGGCCCAGCATGCTCGCCGCTCTCCATTGCTTGAGTCCTCCAGACGTCGGGGTGACTGGCGGCCCCATGCCTGGCCTGGTTCTGCAGGCTCCACTGTAGGAGGAAACCCGGGGACTCTGAGCTGAGGTCAAGAGCCCCATCATGAGAGTCAGGCACCAGGGACTTCTTAGGGGATGGGGGATCAAGCTGGAACCCATTCTGTTCCAAGGGTGGGCTTTGGGGCACAGAGAATCTTAACAGAACGGAGATGGGGAAGGGAGGTTTGGGTCGTGGGGCTAGCAGTGGGGCAGGGCATCTCACCTAGTCCTTCAGCTGCCATTGTGCTTAGTAGCACCCTGTGGCAAGCTTGCCTGTGTCTGAATTCTGGCCCTGCCCCTTGTCAGTTGTGTGACATTTGGCAAATTACTTTTTTCATCTACAAAACTTAGATAAAACGAATGCTGCCAAGAGAACTCAGAGGTACCACAGACATGGGAGGGAGCCAGGGTGCTGGGAGTTAGAGGAGGAGCCAGTGGGTGGCATCCACCTCCTAAGGTCAAGTTTGACAGAAGTTAGATAACAGGTGTGTGGGGGGGTTTGCACGAGGAGAGGTTTCTTACACTGGATCGCCCGGAACCGGGGGAAGGTGGGCGAATCTCCAGCTCCGACCTCGAAGACGTTTCTCCTCCGGTCCAGGCCAGGTGAGGCCTGCACAGTGATGCGGTGTTTGAAGTCTGGGGTGGGGGGGGGAAAGCAGGGTGTAGGTTTGTGGTGAAGAAGAGCCACGTTCAACCCTCAGGGCCGTCAGCCGGGTCCCAGGCCACGAAGGCAGTGCAGGGACCCGGCCTCGCACGGTGGCTTTGTGACTGGGGCCGGCCTCACTGCCTTCCTGGGCCCAATCAGGCTCTCGGTAAGGAAAGAGAACGGCCTGGACGCCACCATCCGAAGAAGCTATACGGAGACGGAGATTCCCGGGAGGAGACCCGCCGGGTCCCCAAGGCCTTAACAGAACTTTCATGAGCCCCGCCCCTCCCCGGGCACAACCCCTCCCAGGGCGCCATGCAAATATTTCTGCCAGAACCCGCCCACACACGAAAACAGCGCTCGCGGTCCCACCCCTTCCAGCCTTCAGCTCACAGGCCCACCCACCAACATCCCCGACCAATCCCAGTGTGGCCGGCACAAGCCACACCCCACCCCCCCGCTCACGCAGCCAACGGCTGGGCGGTGCGCTGGGCCCCGCCCCTTACCGAGGGGCATGCTGATGCGCTCGCCGCCGTCCCGCGCGCGGAGCTTGCTGCGCTTGAAGGTGCCGCGGCGGCGGCGGACGTGCGGCCGCTCGCGGTCCACCTGCTGCAGCAGCAGCGTCAGCTCGCGCTCGAACACCTCCAGCTCCCACTGAGCCAGCAGGTGCTCGCGCCGCCGCAGCTGCTCCGCCTGTGACCGCTGCTCACGCGCCGCGCGGGTCAGCTCCTCCTCGCGGCTCAGTAGTTCCTGTGCCCGGGACAGTGAAGGCAGTGGGATCAGTCCGGTACGGACCCTAGCGTCGGCCCCCGCTCTCTGCCCCAAGGAGATGGGGAGGCACTTCCCGGTGGCTCTTTCCAATCCCGTGACCCCCACCTTTTCCTTGGCCCGCAGCTCGTCGAAGAGGCCTTGGATCTCCCGCTTCCAGCCTTCCTGCATGGAATGGAAGGAGTCCCGCGGCATTTCCCGCAGGACTTGTGCCTCTAGCGCCTCCAACTGCTGCAGGATGGAGGCAAAGTCGGGCCTGCGGTGGGGGTCCTGCGCCCAGCAGTCTGGGGACACGGAGTGGAGGGGGAACAGAATGAGAAGGGGTCTGTGGGTGGATGTGTCTTGTGCCAAGGAGCCCTGTCCCTCACCCTCCAGCCCCTTTCCCTTACCTGCCATGAGCTGTGCGAAGGGCTCAGGGCAGGTGGATGGAATGGGCAGCGTGAGCTTGTTGACAGCTACTCCATAGGCTACAGCAAGGCAGTCGATACCACGGTAGGGCACCTCCCCAGTCAGCAACTCCCACAGCAGCACCCCAAAACTGTAGGCAAGACAAAGGGTCTGTGTCCCCTCCTCTATTTACTCATTGCCATTTCACCCCAGAGCAACTAGGAACCAAATGATTTGGGTCCCTCCCCCTGGGCTCTGCCTCTCTGCCCAGCCCTAGATTTGGGTAGCCACCGCTGCCCTCTTCAGCCCACAGATGGCCTTGTCCAGTCTCCACCCAGGCCTCACCTCCAGACATCGCTGCCCTTAGAGAAGGTGGAGGCCTTGATAACCTCAGGAGCCATCCAGGCGTACGTGCCTGCAGCACTCATTTGTGTGGTTTTGTGCCACTCGCGGGCCAGGCCGAAGTCAGTGATCTTCAAGGTCTTGTGGTCCATGTCATCGCCTTCAATGGGCTGCAGCAGCAGAACTGGGGAGGAGGGAGGCAGGATTGTGGGTGCTCCACGCTCAGGTCGTGGGGACAAGGGAGGCTCTAGGAGCAAACCATCATCTGACAGACATGCTGGCTAGGTCCTGGGAGCACAGAGGTGGCCTTGCTCTGGAGAGTTGGGGTAGAATCAGACAAAATGCTGGGAAATGTTTATGGAGGGACTCCTTGAGGCCGGGCATTTACGCTCAGCTCTGGCACTCCCAAAACAATCTCTGAGGTACACATCATCATCCCAATTTTCCAGAAAAGGAAACTGGGCAGAGAAACGACTTGCCGAGATCATATGCAAATAAAGAACAGTTTCAACCTGGTCTGTGTGGTTCTAAAGCCGGTGTTCTAACTTTTCCCTAATGCCGCACTGAATGGAAACCCCATGTCTTGTCCTGTTGCTGAGGCACGAGTGTGAGAATTAGGACCTCCCTTGGGATGGGGAGCAGGAGGGAACCCCTTGGTGAGAAAAGAAACCCAGCAGGCCCTGGTGCCCATACCCCTTCTTGGCTATAGAGCCACTCCCAGGGGAGAGAGAGACTCCGACCAAAGATGTCTACTGCTGCAGCTGGATGTGAAGAACAAGGGGGTCCAAGAAGTGAAGGTTCTTGGCAAGAAAGGAGGAGCTTGGGAAAATGTGGGAGTGGATGGTCAGATCCGGCAGGGGTTCGTGGTGTCGACCTGGTGGGGCCACCATACTCTGTACAGGGAGAAGCAGCAACTCAACAAATCTCATCAGGACAAACATGGTTCAGATGAAAGAAGGTCTTGAGGAACAAAGATGATAAAGTCATAGAATCATCAAGGGTCTGAAAGGGCCTCTCCCTTTCCTAGTTCTGAAGCAACATCCAAGCCAACTACCTTTCTGAACATATGTCATTTCAGGGCACACACACCTGTCAGCTCTCCTGTCCAGGGTGACGGCACCATTCTGGGGGCAGCTTAGGGTCCTGGGGGTGGGGCAGAGGGGATGGGCACCTAACCCCGCCTGGCGAAAGGGAGTTCTCAGAGGAGGTGGCAGAACCAGGGTATTCACTTTTCCAGGCATAAAGCCATAACCCTGCGGTCCCACTGCTGGCCAAGCTCTCTGGGCCTTGTGGGGGTATCTGGCACTGCTGTCCACCCCCTCCCTTCTTTCTTTGATTCTGGGGCCTTTACCTGTGTGTGCTGTTTCCTTAGGGCCTCCCCATCCTCAGCCTTTTCAGTGTCAGTGGTCCATCAGAGCCTGGCCTCTCCTCAACCTCTGCCCACTGCCCCCAGGCTATCTTGGTCTCTCCTAAGTGCCCGCTGCCCCCTCCCCATTGGCCTCTCCCACATTTGGAGCTCTAGGCCAGAAGCCAGTTCAGCTGCCCATCAGTGCCCTATCTGATGTCCAAATGCCCTCAAAAACCACCTTCATCATCCCACTGTGCCCAGCAAATCTGCCTGCCACTTCTCCTAATTCAGAGAATGGTCCTGCCATCCACCCTCTTGTCTTCTGGAGCCAGATTGGGGCTGAGTCCTGAACAGTTAATAAAGCTAAGGATGACAACAAAACCCACCTCAGGTGATCGTCATAAGTATTTAACAAGATCACACTTTTTTTTAAACTTTTTTTTCTTTTTAAGTAGGCTCCATGCCCAGCGTGGAGCCCAACATGGGCCTTGAACTCACAACCCTGAGATCAAGACCTGAGCTGAGATCAAGAGTCTGATGCTCAACTGACTGAGCTACCCAGACGCCCCCAACAAGATCACACTTTTTAAATCCTTCACACAGGGTGGGACATCTTTAGGACACTGTGTCGGCTATCCTAAAGATTAGTCCTCTACCATCCTGTGTTGACTCTCCAAGCTGTCCTGTCACAAGATTTTCCCCGCTTTGCAACAGCCTCTGGCCGGGCTGCTGGAGGCTCAGGACTGGACCATTCAGTAAACGCTACACAGGCTCGTTCCAAAGCAGAACCGCCACAGGGTGGGGGCAGGTGGCTGGAGTGGGACCAGGCAAAGGGGTCTGTGTTGAGACTGGAGAGGGACTCCAGTCTCCTCTGGTGACAGGAGCCACCCATTCTCTTAAAGACCGACTGGCCACTTGCACCTCACACACCAATGAAGCACTTTTTGCACCAGCATCTCTGGCTGGGAGGCCAGCCTCCCCTTTTCCAGCAGGTAATCTGAGGCCCAGACACAGGCAGGCTCTCATCCAAAGTCTTGGGACTTCTTTGTCCTGGTGGCCTGTCACCTCCCACCCCCAACTTGGCTTGACACCTCTGAAGCCTCACCCTCACCTCCACCTCCCCTGCTTTTTCCCAAGTGCCTTACATTTGTCCCAACCCAAGTTGCTCCTCTGGCATCTGATATAGACCTTGGGGAAGGGGTGGTCAGGAGCCACCTGGAGGAGAGGGGGCTGGAGATCCCATGCTCTCAGTCCCCACTGCGGGCTTCCTGGCCTCCGAAAGGGCCCTGGCCCCCAGCCCCCTCCCCAGGCCGGCCTCTGTGGGGCTAGGGAGTGGCCTAGGCAGCTCACACCTCTTCCGCTTCCCTCCCATGGTCCCTACTTCTCCTTTCTGGGAGGCCTGGGCCAGGTCTCCAACTGGGGGGGCAGTCCTTTGGGGGAGAATTGGGGGAGGTCAGACCCAGGCTGGGCTGGCTGGTCAGTCCTGTGACTCGTGGGCCCAGAGAATTCCCCCTCCGCTCCCCGCCAGGCTTCCTCACAAGGCCCCCATTGTCCAGGAAAATCACGCCATTGTTTCCTGCCTGTGCCCCCCCCAACCCAGGGACTCCCCCCACCATCCCGCAGACAGCACCCCAGGCCTAGGACTGGGGTCTTCGAGGTGGGAGGCCAGGCTCAGAGAGGCTGAGGGCACCTTGCCTGCCCTTCACCACCACCCAGACTCTGGGAGAGAAACAGGGGAAGCCGGGGGGGGGGGGGGGGGGGGAGATGCAATCCCTGGCTCCTTCCTCTCCCACAGCCCCCCCCCTTTCCTCCCCTGCAGGCAGCTGGGCTGGGGAGGGAGCTGAGGCTGGAGCAAGGGCAGGAAGCTGGCTCAGGGGCAGCAGGAAACGCAGGAAGCAGTGGGGAGGGTGGGGAGCAGGGGCCTGGGCTATTGTTCCATTTTCTCTGGAAAGAAAACTGGAGGAAAAACAGAAGAAGGGAGTCCCCTCCCCCAAGGCCTTCGGGGAATCTCCCTTGGGTTGGAGCAGGGAGTGGGGGTCCCTGGAGGGCTAGGGCCAGGGAGGAAGGCTGAGCAGTGGGAAGTGCCCCACTGGATGAGAGGAGTAGGTGGGGTGGCGGCAGGCCTCCCCTGACCCCTCCAGGCCTGGCAAGGACTCAGATTTTACTGGGTCCTGGAGTTCTGCTCCCCACAAGCCACTTGTATATGGTCAGCCCAGGCCAGGAGACCCAAAATATCCACGCTCACTCCCCACCAAGAGCTGCCCATGTCTCTCCAATAACCCATCAGCCCCGGCCCTGTGTCCCCCCTACTGAGGGGCAGGGTATGTGGTGCTGGGTCCTGCATCTTTGCCTTTGCTCTGGCCAGGGCCTGACCGAACATCCAACTGGGTGCCTCTCTGAACCCGTCTGCTTTTGGCCTGGTGTGAAGCTTGTCTGCTCCAGGAAGCCCTCTGAACCTATCACTTGCTTGTCTTGGGTCCATGCTGGGCAGTGTGTTGGGCCTAAAATGGCTGGAGATGGATTTCCTTACTGCTTAAGTCTCCCTTAGCCCCACCACGCCCACCCCAAGCGCTAATTCCAGGCAAGGCCCTATCGGTGATCCAGCCCTCAAATGTTCACCCACATAGCTGCAGACCCACTGTGTGCCAGGCAGCAGACACCAGGCTTGCCCAGTCCCTTACGCCATTTCACCTTCCTGGTCACTCCCTTTTTACAGAGTCCAGAATTGAGGCTCTGAGTTGAAATAACCAGCTAAAGGTCCTGCAGTCAGGGGTATGGGCGGGGCCAGAATTCCAGCCCTGTCCCCAGCCTGGACCACCAGGGGTAGGGGAGTGGGTGGGGGGGCTTTTCTCTCCAGGATCTCTGTTCTGGAGGAGCTTCCTACCCAAGAGCAGAGCATCAACAGCACAAGGATGAACTTTAGGGGAGAGGAAGATGACTGCCAGCATCCAGAACTCTACTTCCTTGAAGTGGTGCCCATGGTTAGGCAGGATGCTTATGGCTCAACCGGGAGATCCCAATTGTCTAATCTGGTGGCTGGGAGCTGGGGTCAAGGACTCCTTCTGAGATTGGGACGTGAAGGACTGTTTGGTGCCTGGGTCTCCTGCTTTGGGGCCAGTATGGGCCCATAGCACCCCAAGTCAACTCGGACTCCCCTAGGGCAGGAGCTCCTGCCTCTAGTAGATCCCCAGGTGGCTCAGCTGAGAGTTGGCAGGTGTGTGCTTGGGCCATGCCGCCCTCCAACCATGCTCCCCAAAACTCACTGTTGTTGGACTTGAGGTCTCGGTGGATGACGGGCACCAGGGCCTCACAGTGCAGGTAATGCATCCCACGGGCAATTTGCACAGCCCAGTTGACCAGCACGTGGGGGGGCACACGCCGCCCAGCCAGGGCACGGCTGAGGGGCCCACCGGCCGCGTACTCCATCACCAAGCACAGGTTGGGCTCCTCCAGGCACACGGCTTTGAGGGCAATGATGTTGGGGTGTGCCAGCATGGCGAAAAGCCGGGCCTCCTGGCGCACGCTCTCAGCTGTCACACTGATGTCCTCATCGGGGTCCTGGCGAGCTGCCTTCACAGCCACCAGCTCACCTCGCCAGCTGCCGCGATAGACCTTGCCGAAGCCACCGATGCCGATCACCTCCTCCAGCCGCAGCTCTTGGAAGCTGGCCACCTCGCAGGGGGGCGGGCCACCGCCCCGAGACACATAGTTGGATGGAAAGATGCCCACCTGGCCGCCCACCTGGCCCGCCCACCAGCCCTCATCGCCTGAGATAGCTGCATCCCGGGACAGCACCTCCACACGGTCGCCCTTCCTCAGGGCCAGTTCGTCCTGCCCATTGGGCTCGTAGTCAAACAGGGCTGTCCACACTGGGTTGGCATAAGCCGCTGTCTTCGGGGACCCCTCTGGCCAGCCTCCGCCGCCGCCCCCACCGCCCCCACCGCCACTGCCATTCCATGACCCCAGCGGACTCTTGAGAAAGAGGTTCTTCAAGGGCTCCATGGCTGGGAGCCGATATTGCGGCAAGTGGGGTACCTTCCCTGGGTGCCCCCGGTCCCCACCCCTGCTGGCTGCCGAGGCCCTAGTCCCGGAACCTGGGCATCCGGGCCCTGGCCCTCAGCCCCAGACCCAAACCTCTCTGGGGAGCCAGGAGTACCGACTCCCGGCCCCCCGCATCTCGGGCTTCTAGAGGGCCACCCAGGGCAGTGTGGTCAGGCTCTGGGGGTGGGACCCCGGGGCCTCCGGCGTCTCACCATGGCCAGTTTGGAGGGGCCCGAACGTCCCTCAGTCCCGGAGCAGTCCTGGGAGGTTGGCTCCGGCACTCGCCAAGTGCAAGGTGGGGCCAAAATGGGCAGCGCCTGGACTCCGTTGGGTCTTTTTGCGCAGGGGGTGGCTGGAGTGTCCCTAGTTGGCCTGAGCTGCCGCTTCCCAGCCCGGCTCCCTCTGCCCGACGGCTCCAACCCCGTTCCCTTCTTCCTCCTCCCTTTGTACTTTGGCCCCGGGGGCGGGAGGCAGAGGTGGAGGGTGGAGTTTCACTTTTTTCCGCTCTTCTCCCTCCTGCAGGAAACAGCATCAGATGACGCGGTCGGGTAGCAGTGCTCCCCTCCCAGAGGCTGCCGGCGCTGGTCCCGGGAGTTCCCGGGTAGGCGGGCAATGAAGGGCAGGAGGGGATGGGTAGCCCCGAACGCCCATCACAGAAGGTTCAGGGTCAAGGTTGGTCTTTGCTAAAGACGGGCCATCCCCTCCGCATCCGCATCAGCAAAACAGGGTAAAGAACCTGACTTGGGAGTGGGGCAAACCTGAGTCTAGTCTTGGCTCCGAAGTTGCAGGACTGTGTGACTCATCCTCTCTTCGCCTCCTTCCCTTCATACCTGACATAGGGCCCAGAAGCTCGGCTTTGCAGTTTGGGTTGGGAGTGGGGAAGATTGGAAGACAGAACTGGCTGCATCTCAAGCTCTTGGAACGGGTTGTCTAAGCCTGTCCTCTTCCCCTCACCTGGGAAACAACCCACCTCATGCCCCTTACCAAGTGGGCGGAAACCTGAGACTGTCGTCCTGAACTTCGCCCAGTGGTTGGATTCAGAATAGCTCAATCGCCCTCACAATCGCTGGATTGACTCCCCCCCCCCAATTGCCTTGAACCTGGCACTTTAAGAAAAACGACGTTATCCTATTTCTATTACTCAGGCCTGTTCTGGAGGGCTGTTCTCTACACGCTAAGTCTGAGCTGTGACCCGGAAGTAGAGGCCGCTTGGGGCGAGAGTGCGGGTTTGAGGTCCGGCGCTAAAAAGGGGCGGACCGAAAGGGGCGTGCTTTGGTGGCGAGCTGTCGCTGTAGCCCTGGGAAGTCCACGCCTCCACCCTTTTCCCCGCCTCCTGTAACTCCCTGGGAGAGTTTTGTGTCAATTAATTCCGCCATTACCCAGTGGCCACTCAACTATCCCTTCGGTTCCGCCCAGTGGTGTCAATTGGGTTGACAACGCCTAAGTGTGCGCATGCGCCCCAGCGCTACCGCTTTTGGCCCTCTCTTCTTTGAAGACCGGGACTCTGCGCACGCCCAAAGGGATCCCCCGCGTCTTAGCGCTCTACCACTTTTCTGCGCGTGCGTCAGGTTTCATGCCTTCAAGTTTTCCTTTTCCGGGTCCCAACTAGGCCCGTCGGGCGCATGCGCCACTGCTAGCTGGCGGCTCGCTTCTCCTTCCGGCCTCCCCCTTGGGCCGGGTCCCGCAGTAGCCGGGCGAGCGCGGAGACCGAAGCGAGTGACCTGTAACCCCGGAAGTGGACCTCAGGGTCCCGGGGCTCTCCCCGGGCCGGAGCCGAGGGAGCCGTCGCCTGCACCCCCGGAACACCCACCCCACGCCCATCTCTGGATGCCGCCGACGGGTGTCCGGCCCGTGCCCCGCGCCTGCCTACCGGCTCGGCCCCTCGGAGCAGTTCTGGGCCGGGGGTGGGGGCCTGGACCCCGCCCCTGATGAGGCTCCACCCCCGCGTCCAGGCCTCGCACCGCTGACTGCCCGGGTCGGCCCCGCCCCCTGCCCGCCCCCTCGCCCGGCCGACCCCTCTCCCCGGCTGGGGGAGGCCATGGCGTGAGCGCGAGGCCGGGCCCCGGGGCCCTCGGGCGCCAGGCGGGGCATGGACCAGCGGCCGCCCCCATGAGGGTCCCGGGAGGGGGGCGCGCGCAGCAGCGGCGGGGCCATGGGGTCGCAGGTATTGCAGATCCTGCGCCAAGGGGTGTGGGCCTCGCTCACTGGCGGTTGGTTCTTCGACCCGCACCAGAGCACGTTCTCCAACTGCTTCCACCTTTACGTCTGGATCTTCCTGCTCACCTTTCCTTTCTTGCTGTACATGGTGAGATGCTGCCGCCACCTGTAACTCCCGCCGGGGAAAGGGAGGGCCGATGTCACGGAGGGGGTGCCAACCTGGCAGGGATTCGGCGCTATGGGGGTGGAGAGAGGACTCACTGCAGAGTTTGGGGTGTATGGAGGAGTGGCCAAATTATTCCTTAATTGGGCTGGGTGACCTTGAGCCTCTCATTTGATTTCTCTCCAGTGAGAGGATAGAACCCCCTGACAGGGTCCTTGTACCAGTTCTAAGGGATGGGTGAGGAGGGCTTGTGAATTTGTGAAAGCTGGCTGTGACTGTGGTGGTAGGTCTACCCCATGGGGAGAGGGGACAGGGCTGTGTGAGGAGGAACCTGACTTGCTGCCGCCTCCAGGTCCTGCCCCCCAGCTTGATGGTGGCCGGTGTGTACTGCCTTGTGGTGGCTGTCATCTTCACTACCATCAAGACTGTGAACTATCGGCTACACGCTATGTTCGATCAGGGCGAGATTGTGGAGAAGCGCAACTCGACCATGGGGGAGCCAGATGAGGAGCCCGCGCAGGGGGACAGCAGTCTGCCCAGGTGAGTAGGGGAGGGGCTGTGTTGGGAATTAAGGGGCCTTAGTGCCTGAGCTTAAGCCTCGGAGCCTTAGGGACATTGGCTCCAGGAGCAGGTGAGCACCTGTTCTCTGGTCAGCTCCAGACTTGTGAGAGGACCCTTGAGAAGAGAGGAGTGCTGGGGATAGCGGAGGAAGTATAATCTGAAGGGAGGGGGAGCTTAGCTGAAAGCTGATGCTTTTCTCCACTGCTAGGGACCCTGGTGTGGAGATGACAGTGTTTCGGAAAGTGAGTTCCACCCCTCCGGTACGCTGTAGCTCCCAGCATTCTGTGTTTGGCTTCAACCAGGTCTCGGTGAGTGGTCCCTACCCTCGGCCTGTCCTACTCCTCTCCTGGGAGCCTGTCCCCACTGGGGTATGTCCCCAGCCTACTTCTTACCCTGCTGGTTCCTTCATTTCTCTCTTTGTTTGCTCAGGAGCTGCTGCCCCGGATGGAGGACTCTGGGCCCCTCAGAGGTAGGTGGCTGCTGGCTGTGTGGAATGAGAGGGCACCCCGATGTCTTGAAATCGTGCTGACGCTTGTGGGGCCATGGTTGCAGACATCAAGGAGCTGGTGCGTGAGCAGGGGAGCAACAATGTGATCGTGACCTCAGCGGATCGAGAGATGCTGAAGCTAAGCTCACAGGAGAAACTGAGTGAGTAGGCATGTTCTGGCAGGGGCTTGGGGGGAGGATTGGCTATTTTGTCTTCGAGTCACCCCAACTTTTGCTTCCCCAGAACTCTCTTTGTCCTTCAGGATGGGGTCTTCTCGTTCTGCCCCAGCTGGGCTCTGGGGAAGTGGTGGCCACAGGACCTCTTTAGTGGCTGGTTCCTTTTGCAGCATGCCCTTTCCTCATTTTGTCTTCCTTTTCTCTGATAGTTGGAGACCTTCCCCAGACACCCCCGGGGGCTGCCCCAGACCCCTCTCTCCCCAGCACAGACTCTTCAGAACGCTCTCCCTTGGCTGGGGATGGAGCCCCCTGGAGTGGGAGCAGTGTGGCCGACACTCCCATGAGCCCCCTTCTGAAGGGGAGCCTCAGCCAAGAGCTGAGCAAGAGCTTCCTGACCCTGACCCGGCCTGAGCGGGCCCTTGTGAGGACCAGCAGTCGACGGGAACAACGCCGGGGAGCAGGCGGCTACCAGCCCCTGGACCGGCGGGGCTCCGGTGAGCCCACACCCCAGAAAGCAGGCTCCTCGGATTCCTGCTTTAGTGGCACTGACAGGGAGACGTTGAGCAGCTTCAAGAGCGAGAAGACCAACTCAACCCATCTGGACAGCCCTCCCGGTGGGCAAGCCCCCGAGGGCAGCGACACAGACCCACCCTCTGAGGCTGAGCTGCCCGCATCACCAGATGCTGGAGTCCCCTCCGATGACACGCTGCGTTCCTTTGACACGGTCATAGGAGCAGGGACGCCACCGGGCCCAGCTGAGCCACTCCTGGTTGTGCGGCCCAAGGACCTGGCCTTGCTACGGCCCACCAAACGGCGGCCCCCCATGCGAAGACACTCCCCACCTGGCCGTGCCCCTCGGCGGCCCCTGCTTGAAAGTGGGGGCTTCTTTGAGGACGAAGACACCAGCGAGGGCAGCGAACTGAGCCCAGCCTCCAGCCTCCGCTCTCAGCGCCGCTACAGTACTGACAGCTCTTCTTCCACTTCCTGCTATTCCCCTGAGAGCCCCCGTGGTGCAGCAGGGGGACCCCGGAAGCGACGGGCCCCCCATGGGGCTGAGGAGGGGACTGCTGTGCCCCCCAAGCGGCCCTATGGGACCCAGCGGACGCCTAGTACCGCCAGCGCCAAAACGCATGCCCGCGTGCTGAGCATGGATGGGGCCGGGGGTGATGTCCTAAGGGCCCCCCTGGCTGGCTCCAAGGCTGAGCTGGAGGCCCAGGCAGGGGTGGAGCTGGCTTCTGGTGAGCCTGCTGTGCTGCCTGCTGAGGCCCACAGGGGACCTGCCGCCAACCAGCCCGGCTGGCGGGGGGAGCTGCAAGAGGAAGGTGCTGTGGGGGGAGGTGAGTGCCCGCTCTGCTGTGGGGTGGGGGCGGTGAGCTAGGTATGGGCTTGGGTTTGGACAAAGGCCAGGCTGGAGCGGAGCTGGTCAGAGTCAGCTCGGCCTCTGTCTCAGGCAGCAGGTGGATGTGGACTGAGTGGTTGAGTGATGTCTGCTGAACCCCTCAGATGAGCAGGGCTGGGAGATCTCAGACACCCGGCTCCAGGTCCTGCAGTTAGCACAGAGCCCCTGTGCATTGGGGACTCTGAGCGTCCACATTCATTCTCCTGGGCCACCGGCGGGGCAGGGCAAGATTGTGTCCTTATTTCTAAATGTGGAAACTGAGGCACAAGCGGTTAGGTGACCTGGCTAGGCCCCGGAGGCAGGACACGGTTGGATTAGGCCTGACCTAAGCTGCCAGCGCTGCCCCCCCATCCCCCCACCCCCGTGTCCGAGGCTGTGTCCGAGCCTCCGTGGCTTATGCACGGGGCCTCTCCCTGGGCAGCAGCTGACGAGACTGGCAAGCGGGACCGCACGAGCAGTGTGCGGCGGACTCAGGCGATCCGCAGGCGCCACAACGCGG